TTCTTGATAATCATTGAAAGGTGATAGTTATCAAAATGATTGCGTTTAATAAGTGATAAAGCATCCACGAAATCAAAGTAGATGGTAATTTTAGAGAACTTTTGCTTCTAGCAAAGGTCTTCCCTTTCAGGATCCTCATAAGTTTTGTTGTGATGTGATGATAGTTGAGGTATTAGAAAAAAAAAAAAGCTTAATCCAATTAACCTTGTCATCTCCAATGATGTCTCCAATAGCAATAGCATCGCTAACGCTGGCTGAGCCATTGATGTTGATTCTAACCTACTCAAAATTTAGACGGCTCCATTTGGCTTTATATATCGTGTTTATTTTTCTCAATTGGTTAATTGATTTTGCATTGAAGCTTTCGATCATTGATAATCTATTTGAGTGCCCGAGAAGATGATGTTACTATTCAAGATATCATTTTTTGAGTATAATTTTTTGCATATAACTTTTCATATATTCCAACAAATACGAGCAAGAAGTCTTAGCTTTTAAAAGTTGTGAGTATAACATTTTACATCTAGCTTTTTATATATTTCAGCAGGCATGGGCAAAAGGTCTTTATTTTTAGCAAGCACAGCCTTTTGAAATTTGAATGTTCGAGCATTTAATATATCTAATGGTAAAAACTTGTCTTTTTACCTTCCTGTTTATCTAACTGATTTTCTCAAAAATGTATTCAAATATAAATTTTATTGTAATAACTAACTTTTATTGAAGCTAATTTATGATAAACGAACACAAACTTAGAGCCATTGCCAAATGCCAAGAATAAAATTAGTTTTTAAATTACAAATTATGGGATTTTGGTGTGCAGTTAATGGTTTATGCATAAGTTTTTTATCTTCTAGGGTTAAGGATTAATTTTGCTCTTAAACTAATTACCAAAGCTCACAAATGACCCTAAACTCAACTATAAATCATTTATATCTTAATTGCTAAGATTTGTAAATTTATCACCTTGCCGTTTATAGTGTCAACTTTTTCTGGGCTTATATTTTGATTTTTTTTATTATTTATTTATTATAAAACATTACCTTCACAAATATTTTTTTTATTTTTTAATAATTTAAACCTCTGTCTCTCTTCATTGTCCTACTAAGATCTTCGAATGAGCCACCTTAAGATCAACCTAACCCACCTTCATGCATGCAATCAATCTGAGTAGGAGTACAATTTATACAGTCGTGCATCTAGATCATCATTTATTGTTGTCTAAATTCAATCTATTTCTTAACAACAATTACACTTCCTCCTACTACTCTCAAGCCCTTAAATCCTTCATGCATCTCACCCAAGTCGAGCTCAACAATCTCTTCATCATTAAAGATGTTGAAAGTCTTTCGAACTTCTCATTAGCCTTACTTCTGATCATTTCTCATGGCTGGGTCGGCTAGGGAGGTGTAGGTGCTTTGACTTTCTATTTATCTCTATTTTTTGAATAGAAAACAGAGGTGGATGATGGAGAAGAATTCATTCTCCTCAATACTCATGTCATGAAAAGCTGCTATGAGTGGTATACTTAGAGTCAGGAATAAGGGTTGAGTTTAAAGGCCTTGTTTAAATAAAAATTTGAGCTTTTAAAATTAATTTTTTTTAAAGTAATCTAGCTTGAGGGCCTAACCCTGTAGAAAAGGGCTCAGGCTCGAATGGCCTTTCAAGCCCTATTATATTATTGTTAATTTTTTTTTTGTGGAACATGCATTTGAATCTAAGAAGGACCTGCTCGCTTAAAGCCCTGATCCTACACCCATTACATTATTATTAATTTTAATTTATTCTAAAATTAATTTAACATAATTTAATAAATATCAGTGTACAGTATACAATTTTTTATATTTTTTATTTTTCTATAATTATTATGTTTGTGTATTTATAAAAAACAAACTATTTTTTAAGCAAGATTTGAATTTTCTTCCTAGAATTCTAAATGTGTATTGTTTTGATTTTTTAATTTTAGAATATTTTAATTAATTTGTAGTGCTTAATTTTATTTTAATTTTTTTAATATTAGAATAGGACTTACAAGCTCGACCCTTAGCCCTTTAAACAAAGGCCGAACCTTAAAAAAGAGGTAAAAAAATGGAAAACCAAGCTTAAAGGGTCGAGCCCACCCGTTCCTTAACTTTATATATGCTTTACATCACCAAGATCTTACCTTATTAATTAACTGATATACTAAGCAAGTATTTTGTAATGAGATAAGCTTCTTGTTATTCTTGTTGAGCTCTTGACAAAGACTATGGGCTATCAAAAATTCGCTCATGAATTCCAACTTCCATAGGATGAATAGAGCTAAATTTTAGGATAAAGGATCTGACCCTATTATGTTGGATCGAGTTTTGAAAGTGGTGTTGTGAATGTTCAAGAATAGCTTAGTAGCTTTAGGGGATAAAACAACAATGGCAGGAACTTATCCCAGCTTCAACAACATGATGGGATCATAATTTTAGGCTAAAGTTTGAAGGCTTTGATATGGGTGTTCACCTAACATGTAGAGGTTTTTGATATCAGCAGGCTTGTCACTCTTATCAAGCCAGATTATGGTCTTCTTTGAGCTATTGCACGAGGAGGATATGGTGAGAATGGATGCTCATATGAGTTGAATTGTGATGAAACTATGCTTGTGGGTTGAACTCTATGGATGAAGGCTCGGCTATGTTAGTGGCATGGCCTTCGATCTTTAGCTCAATCAAGCATAGAAAGTTGACATATTACATTATTAGCATCCATTTTATGATGATTTTCATGCATTATTGCATTCTCGGGAACTCAATTCTTGCATATTTAAGCATTTCTAGGCCTTTGGAATCAATTAGGGTTCATTCATAACCTAAAGGTATTTTAGTCATTATGATAATTTTTAGGCAATTTTGAGACATTAGCTTAGTTTGTGTCCTTTGTCCCTAAAATCAATTGAATAAGTTTGAAATTTAAACTCATTTTAGGTTGCAAAGAGACATCAAAAGACATAAGTTGTAAAATGTTTCAAGACAAAGACATTAATATTATGTTGTTTTGTTTTATAATCTAAGAGCTTGGAAATAATATTATATCTTGCAATTGGCTTTGAGTTTTGATTTAAAATTTTTCACACATGCTTTGATCACTTTTATGTGTATAATTATAGGTGCAAACATGAATTTGGATAAAGATTGAATAGCCAAAAATATTGCATTACAAGACAAGCTATAAAGCAAGAAAACCCTAAAGTAATAGATGTGCAAGAGTTGATTTAAAGAATTTCTAATGACTTTAAGCATTGAGGATTTCAACCAAGCAGCCCTTTATCATACTTTGATCATCTTTTTATAAGTGTTTCATGAGTTTTAATCAAGTGTGAAGCATCCTATAAGAGCTACGTGTGCATCTAAGTTAACCTAACTTAAATAGTAGCCACATTCATTTTTGAACATCCTAATTAAATTTGTTAAGTAGTTTCAGATATTTTATAGCTTTGATCACCTAAAAATCCATCCTATTTTACTCATTGTATACCATCACAAGCTGAATATAGGGATTTTAAGTCATGTGCACACTTATTCACCTTATTTTACACATTACATTTTCACACATATTCTCTTTTACTTTTCTAAAATTTCCAGCACCACTTCATTTAATTTTCTCTTATTTTCCTACACTTTCTCAGCCATAATCCTTCATCTTAAGCAAGTATTAAAGTCATAAAAGTCATCTCAAGTAGGATTCAAACTTGGATTCAATGAGTATTCACCATGAGAGACTATATTCTCAAAGCTTCTGAAGAAAGATGAAGCCACATCTTGAGTCCTCTTAAACTTTTTTTCTTGCTTTCAATTGCTTTAAATTCTTTTATTCTCCTTCTTTAATTCTGTAATTCACGCTCTTGATGATTGGTTATAGGTCTTAGATTAATTATTATGGCTTCCAAAGAGGAGAGGATGTACATTTGATTCTTAAACTAGTCGTACACTCTAAACATTTATGTTTATGCCTCAAGATTTAGATGAATGAATACATATTTCCATTTCAATCTCTTATTGTTTGGACTTGTATTAGCTATTGTTTAGGTCTTAAACTCTAATTAATATCATAATTTTAATTGGTTTAAGGTATTAAATATGATCAAGGCCAGAACTAGGACTAGTTTCAAGGATTGAATCACAAATTAGTATATCTATTTTTGGTAGTTTGTGTATTGGATTCTAAGTGATTACTAGATTCACACACAAAATGAAAAAGGCAATTGAATCTAAAACAAAGTGAGGAAAAAAAGGATTGAAATGGTGGATTTTAATCTTAAAAAGCCACTTTGACACTTGGTTGATTCCTACATATTTTTTTTACATTAAAATCAAACATAAACATTTAAATTTTCTAAAATGACCTAAATTGCTTCTTAAAGATAAAATGATTTAAAATGCTCACGTTATTATACCTTAATTTTTTGAAAAGCTTAAAAGTTTTTAAAAGTAAAAGAGACAGTGCAAGAAGCATCAATCAAAAATTGATTTGAGGAAAATGCAGGCCCTGTCAAAGACAATTGCAGATCTGACAATCTGAGACACTCAATCTAAAGCCGATTAAAGACAACAATGCAATCACAATGTGACAACGCATGGGTGATTGGTTGAAGAATGGCAAAGATAAAAAGTAAACACTGAAACAGAGAGGAAAATAGTCTAGACAGCTTCACAAACAAGCACATGCACCAAAACCACACAAGGACACAGCAAAATGGATGATCAGAACAAATGAAAATGGAAGGAAACGAGTGTTCAAAAAATGAAAGGGGGGGGGGGAGGAAAGAGGGGAGATGGGAAGATGATGAAGGGGAGATGAAAGTTGCATGGAAGGGGAGAGGGGATATTTTTTGGAGGTAAAAGTAACGTGCACTCACAAATAATATTTTATAATAAAAAATATAAATATATATATATATATATATATATAAAAAGGAACCCACACCAATCTATGTTTGCCATATTTAATGTAAGAGTGATAATGGGAGAAATCTATTGAGAAATATAATTGACTCATAATTAAATGTAGAATCATTTGTAAGTTTTCATGACCAGTTTAGAAGCAAAAATAACCCTCAACCTTATCATATTATGATCTTTTGTTTCTCACGTCTTTCTGCTTGCAGCTTCTTCCGCGTTCCTCTGAGTACTATACTACTGATTACCAGAAGTACTTAAGTTAGATTATATATTGCATTTAATATATTTCCTATTTCTCACAGCCTCTCAAAAATTCTAAAGGCCTCAACAAATACCAATTTTCATTCGTTCATGATTTCACAATTCTCTGACAAATTCCAGCGCAAAACCGCCTCCCAGACAGTGCTTGTGGACAAGTATTCGCAGCAGAAAAAGTCGGGAGAAAGCCTGAGCTCTGGATTGTTCACTGTAATCCACATTCAATTCTAATGGCTTCCAGGAGTTGAGGTGACACAATGGGCTTTGCCGCCTCCTCTTTATCCTTACCCGAGCTGTTAGCATGCGTATCATATTTCTCTCCGGCGCCCCATCCCCTGTAAAGTATCACTTTGCTGGGTTCTTGAGACACTAGAACTGCCCCTGTTGCTTGCTGTAACATTTACGGCACAAAATTATCAGGCCTTGTGAACAAGGAAGATAAGTGGAAGAGGGAAGACGCTTGCTTCCATACCTCTAGCTTGAAAACCACCTCTTGAACTGACGTCCCTTTTGCCCTGCCTTTGACATTGACTATGGCAAGAGGGTGCTTTTGGAAGTGAGCCTTGATTGCTTTTGCGATCCCAGTCACAACATTGCTTTTTCCTGAGGAGCGGCCACACGACACAAGAATAGAAATGTCATACCTCTGATTTTGAATTAATTTTGAGGAAATACTAAAGAGAACATATATATATATATATATAAAGAAAGTAAAGCATGGCATGGGGCAGCAATTTAGGTAGGAGCTGTCAGCCGTCAGTGCTTGCTTAATGCCATCCGGCGGATATCCAGGATGAATCGTTATTCAAGATGTTGATAACAATATTTACCAAAAACAAAAGGCTCAGATATGGTTTCCACATAAAAGCTGAAAACCATAAGGTATTACAATACCTACGGCAAGGACAGGCCGTTTCTTCATTTTCAAGGCCTGCTTTCGCAGAAGAAGCCTCTCTTTATTGGACAGATTCAAAGGTCTAGAAGGCAACTTATTTGAACTCTTTTCATCTATAGTTGGAGCTGATGATTCTGGACCGCTTTTGGATAATTTGATTGATGATTCAACTGCTTCGTTGCTAGAAACACAATGCCTGGTATCAACGCCAGATCCATCCATCTCATCCCACTGAAATCCACATCAATTTTGCAACATCAGAATTCAGAAAAGAGATAGAACAGGAACAAATACACAGCCAGTAAAAAAACCAAAAGTGAAAAAGCCGAGACTCGAGGAGGGAAAGCTCAGACATAACCATACAACATACAGGGTGAAAATTGCAGTCAATAATTACTTTCATTAGTCATGTTCATGAGGTGATTGCCTGAGTCTCTTAATGAATCCAACTAGACCTTAACAAAAACTCCATCATTACCAATCAGCTTGTTAAAATTAATAATTTTAATATTCCTGGGGCTAAGATCATGAACGTTTTTATTTCTAGTGAACAAGCTCAAATAGAGGACAATCTCCATGACAAACTTAAATTGCAGATAGAAAATTTAAAATCTTTGGCAAGTATGATGTGTTCACATGTGATAAATACAAAAAATAATCAGATATGGAGATCAGTTACTTCACCCCTGTCTGTTTTTCTTGGAAAGCAGGTACTGTAGAAGAAGGCTTAAATTTGAGCGCAGTTGTTGATCTTGAATGTCCAATGGATTGCAAACTCTTTTTCTCCTCTTTGACCTTATGGAACAAAAGTACTATACATTTCATTCTTGTAACTAGGAGAGGAAAGTTCAGAGTTAGAGCAGCATGACATAACTCACCAACTCAAATCTTGATGCATCAGTTATTTGCATACTTTTAGCCTCCTTATCTTTAACCTGGTAAAGGGAATTATTGATAACTTACCTTAAATGAATTGGACAAAGCACAAAGTATTTCAAGAAAACAATGATAATAACAAAATAGTTAAAGAATTATCAAAAGAGGACCGCTTACCAGTTGAAGTTTCAATTCGTCTATGTTCTTATTTAACTTTAAAACATGCAGCTTCAATGACTGCAAGAAAAAGTGAGGAGAAAGGAATTATATGGTGACATGCATATAGGATTGGCAAGCAGTCGGTTCCCTTCTCAGAAATTAAAAAGGATGAACTCAAGCATGATTATAATTAACCAAGATTAGCAGCATAGATTTTGTCAATCTACCTAGTCTTCATTTGACAAGTGGATTGACAAACAAGTGAGCGAATGACAATCAACTACAACTACACCCAGACAACTAACTCTCCGATTTCCCATTTTTCTTTGTATGTGAAGGGTAGAAAACAAAATTAACAAACACTCCTGCATCAATACTAGAACCAGACAATGCAATTTTTACCTCCCGGCGCTGACTCTCTATAGATCTCTTCATTGCTTCTCTTTTGTTTAGAAGTGTCTGTGGCCTCAAACGTGCCGGCCTACTATAATTCTTTCCACGATACACAATGATTGCATAACCTTTGCTCACTCTTTCTACTGCCACTAATATACCACCACTTTCTGTTTCCAAGGTCCGAGCTGTTTGGTGGACATCTTCCAGACTTCTTTCTTTACAAATTATCTTCACAAGTTCCCTGTACTTCCAGTGAAGGTGCATATTTTCAACAGTTCCATCAAAAACCCCTCGTCTACCTGAGGATGGAGAAATCCATCAGAGAGAGACTAGCTTGACTTAAATGTTCTCCATAAAGATTCTATTTATACAGTTCTAACAAAAAACCATCAAAGATCTGTGACTGAATTTGAACATCTTATTCTATACCCACCCATTAGCAGGAAAGGCTTCATCTTCAAGCCAATCTTCCGTAGCATGTACCTCTCTTCTTCAGTTATACCCTCTTTATCTACTTCTAATTCCTGGGGTTTCTCAGCCTTCTCCAGTTCTTCTAGAAGTTTTTCTGCCTTTTCTTTATTCTCGAATGCCTGTATGTGAAAAAGATCATATTTATAAATCTAAAAGAGAAAAGGATTGAACAAAAAACTGCAAACGGGGGTTAACAATGAATTCATGCCTTTGACAACTTCATGCTGGTCCTTTTAATAGCTGCCTCAATCAACCTTCTTTCTCCAGAGATAGATGTCTCTTTCTGGATGGGAATATCATTGCCTTCAAGACCGTCTACAATTCCATGTTTCAGTTCTGGAGTGGTTATCACTGACGAACTCGTTTCCAACTTCAGTTTTTCCTTGTAAATTGCACTATTCCTCCGCTCTTCAATTGCTGAAGACACTGCAGATGGCAAGAAATCCTTTCCTCTATACAAAACAATGAACTCCTTATCTCTAGCAAGAAGAGTTGCTCCAGTCAAAAGCTGCAGAGAAGAAGATCTTATATCAAACTGACATCCAGAAAGAAAAATAACCTAAGGTTTTACTCATTTTAAACAAGATTGTGCTGAGTCAAGTTATTTCGTACAGACAACTCAACTGTTATCATAGCATAAATTAATAAGATTGATTTACTGCTGCCACAAAACCAGTGTTTTGCTGAAATAATTCTCATTCTGGATCAGTAATGCAATTTAAACTACAGGCAAATCTGTGTTCTTTTTCATCTTTTTGGGACCAAAAAACAAGAAGAAAGGAAGGTTTAAGAAAAATAGCTTGCATACATGTCCTTTGACAATTTACAAGTTGTTAACACGTAATTGCATCAATGATTTTCACTCATACCATATGATACTTAAAAAAGGGCATAGGCATTTACAGGTTATACAACCTTCATCCACTATTCTCCTGTGATAAAAATCCTGAAGGACCGTACATTTCATCATTTGCATTGTTGAAATTAACTGCAAAAAAAGTGACTGACCTTCAATTCTTCAGCCATAATCTCACTATTAGTATTCTGCACCCCTCTCTTTATAGCAATCTTAGCAATTTCACATCTTTCCCAGAGCTTAACAACTGCAACAGCCAATCCTTGAAGGTTTCTGTTTCTACCTGTCAACCCCCAAAAGAAAAACAAAAGTCAAAGAAATCAAACAAAATTTTGGTCACCTTACATCAAAGTATGATGCCAGAGGCCTAACCCACCTAATGCAAAATGGCAGGGCAATGGTTTCCCAAGTCTCCTTAACGTGGTCATTTCATCATTTGTTAGTTTAGGATTCACACCATATGGAAGAAGGCGGAAAGGCTTCCTATATCCAGGAACAATAGCAGGTAAAAGATCAGCATCAATAGGTAGAGGGTCATATCCCCACCAATCAGTAAATCGTGGACCGAGCCCCATTAACAAGCGGTCAGCTTCTTCTGCAAGCTCTGCCTCACCTGGCAGTTGAAATCGTACTTTGTTGGAACTACCAACACCTTGTATTAAACCTGGCTTTTCTGTTTTAAAGTCTAGTATTTTCTCAGCATATGTCTCTGACTTTATACCAGATGATTGGTTCTCTGCTTTGCCCCTGTCTGAATGCTGTAAATCATCATCAAGGGTGTCATCTCCTGACAACTTATGAGCAAGGAAGTAAGGATACTTATAATCAGTCCCTCTGTACAATATTATCTTACTTCCAGATCTCCAAACAACCAGACCTCCAGTTTTCCTCTGAGAATCACACAGTAAATAAACTAACATCAGATAATTATTGGCTAGTCACCAGCACCACAAGCATTCCAAAAGAAAACCATATAATTATTGACATTTGCAATGAATGCTAGAAATGAAAGAAAAGATTGACCACTCATTGATAGAAGCCACTCTCAACTCTCAAGTCATACTGTTTCATAGAAAAAAGACACTAGTTATGGTATGTAAAACTATGTTATTTGAACATGCTCTATCTAATCAATATATAATAAAATTTATGGGAAGCTACATAATACATAAGCCGTAAAAAGTGCTATTCACCTGAAACTCAATCTAATTTGTCATAAATATGGACTGGGTGAGGCTTCTGGATTTGCTGTCAGACTTTCCATAGAACACTCAATCTTCTTAACAAATCATTTTTAGGGGAAAAAACAAAAGAAAAGAACATTCAGTTTATGGTATCATCAATGTTAGTGGCAATGAAAATGAAAATGGAGAGGATTGTAGTACCATGGTGTTAGAGACAGGTGAGAAACAGAGAAACAAGACAGAGGTGCAAAACTTAATTTCTCATTAAGCATAGCTTCTGAATTTGCCATACAATCCCTTTATATAGATTCCCAATCCCTGCAACCCTTAACAGCTATTAACTAACTAACAATTATTAATTTTACTAGTTATACACCACGTTGTTTCTAAAGACGAAGCTAGAAGAGATGGCAAGGAGAAGGCACTAAAGAAATTAACGATGATAATGAACTTGAAGAAGACAATGAGGATGATGATGAACAGATTATAATTATTATTAGCATTTAAATATTTAGTTGCTTAATTTCTTCAGGACTTTTAAAATGATGATGGAGGATGAAATATTGCTTATGTTATACGTTGCTTCATTGCTTGTTAACTTTTAGTCATGTTTCACATTTAAAAATAAGAATATCTCTTGTTTATATGAATTAAAACTATTGACTTTAGTGCCTGAGTGTAACTTTATATACTTATCTACCAACCATATATGCTTATATATCTCAATTATCTATTAATTGATGTTTCATATAGCATGCACACTGGTCCAACATTAAATAAAATTAGAGAAATTGGATGAGAAAGATCTGGTCTTTGAACAATAATATCCTCATGACATCACAGACAAAGCATCCAAAAAAGAAAATATGGGGCAAAATGAATGCAAAGCCCAACACTCCAACTGTTCGAACAACATAAAAATCCATGGCATCCAGTCTAGAATTGTCTAACAAAACTCAAGTTAGCCGAAACAAATAAGAACATTGGGCTGTCTGGACAGGAGCACTGGTAATCGCACTAAGATCATAGAAAATTTGCAGCATAATGGATAACTTGCAAAAGCAAGCCCCATAAGTTTTTTGGTTTTGCTTATGGAAAATGGTAAGTTACCTTCAAAAACTATAAATACGTTTGATGTGTCCAGAAGCTAACTTCGACATGAGCAGAAGGGAAACAGAATGGCCTCTCTGTTCCCCCCCCCCCCCCTCTCAAAATAGAAAACGCAACTGTCATTGAAAAAAGAAAGTTACAGAATGGTCTCATTTTTAATATGGCCATGTTGCTTGTACGCATAATAGCCATCAAAAAATATTTCAATTTTCTATCTTTTCGACTTCCCAGATATAATTTATAACTCACTTTGTTAATATCTCTCCACATATCAATAAAGAGTCCCCAAAGTTTATTACGCTTCTTAAAAGTAATAAAACTATTTCAATGATCGCAATAGCTCACATTTGTCGCAGGCTACCAAGAAATTAAATTACCGTCAATTACTTCTCTACCATGTGCACAAGGAACTGGAACATAGAGGAGAATCATATGTTTCGAGAAAAGCCTCTCACCTCCAATAACTCATGAGTCCTTTTCATGTTCAATCTAGAAATATCCTCGCAAAAAATCTTCACAACTTCCGACCGTCTCCAACGCTCATGAATCCCATTCACAATCCCTTCCGTGATCCCAGCCTTCCCTATCTTCAACTTCTGCTTCATACGAATCCCCAGAGTCGTCAGCCTTCTCAATTCCACACGCGATAGACTCAACTCCGCCAATGTGGGCACCTTTTCCTCTTTCTTATTCTTCCCCAGCTCCTTCTCGAATTTCTTCCGCTTCTCCACCTCGCTTGTGAGTTCATTATACCTCACTATCGCAGTTCCTGTTCCTGGTTGAGGAATTGGGCTCTCGGGTGTACTCCAACTGGAGTCAATTGTGTGCCCAATTCGGTACTTAGGCAGCTGTTGCGGCAAAGGAACAAATATTTCTCCTGCCGAGCTGTTCAGAGCGGAATCACCTTCTGGTTTAGAAGAATGGCTATCCTCGGTGTAACCGAGGCTGCGGAGCTTCTCGGCAATTCGTTGGATGGCAGATTTGGGTAGGGTCTGCGTGTCAGCCGAACAACGGACAAATAATTTGGGGCCTCTGGATGACCGTGGAACTAGTGTTTTAGAGATTGGAACAGGGAAGAAGAATGAGGAAGAAGATTGATGTGACGGGAGTTTTGGTGGGATGGCGAAGGTGTGGAAGTGAGTTGCCGGAAGCGACATTTCTGTAGTTCATCAAGGCAAGAGATAGTGGGCAGAAGGCCAAGGCGGGAGCTAGACACTCGCATAAAGATCGGATTATTGGATCACTGAGATTATTATGTACTTTATTTAAAAATCTGTTGAGAGAATCAAACTCTACCAGAACACACGAGTTATCCAACACACGTCACACCCTAAAAATGCTTCGACTTTTATGCACCAACACATTTTTATCCGTGTCTCTGTTGAGATTCAGGAGTTTGAGTCTGCTGATGTTTTAATTAGGTTTAGGAAAAACATCGGTATCTTTATTTAGTTGTTTAGTCTTGGGGCCTGAATAGAATTGGGCTAGACAATGTTGCATGTTGTGAGCTTCAAAACAGATCAAAGGCTTTGACCGCAAGTTCCTTACGAATAACCTTCTAATTGTTACTATCAATAAAATTAAATATTTTATTATAAAAAATTATGCGGTCAACTTTGATCAAGTCTACAAAAAAAGTTAATAAATGCACAGATTAACTAATATATTAAGTTTTTATCAACAATTTTAATCTTCACATTTTTAACATTTCATCATTTGGATGTATAAATTTTTTTCTACAGTGACATGACATGTCATCTAGGCAGTATTTTCATAGCCTTTTTATTCCAAAAAAAAAAAAAACAGACCAGGGTTTAGCAAAACAAACGCACATGATCATAAACCCATTAATGTGTATCATTTTGAGAGGCTACTCTATGTCATTATCGTTCTATCATATCATTTCGAGAAGCGTGGGGTAAATTTTTTTCATTTTCTCCCAAGAAAATGACTTGCGTGCTGCTTTCTTTTTCATGTATATTTTATATCTGTCTGCCGGGAATTTTTTTTTTCTTGTGTTTTTTGGCCAAAGAATGTTTTTCTTATGTTCGCTGGTTCCTTCTTCTTGCTATTTTCTCTGCTGACAATCTCGTGTTGAGTTTTTTTGGATAGAACGGTAATTTGATATGCTTGATTAATTAATTTTTCTGTAATTAAATTTCTCATTTTTAGTTTTAATTAAAAAAATCTAACAGTGGAATATAAATATGTGCGCCCGAACGCCACAAGCAGGTTCGTGTGGCACACGGGGCCAGGAATAGGTGTGTGGCCAGAGAAATTGGTAAATTATTTCTGCATTTCCCAGAAAATTAGAAAAGCACACGGCACCGAAAGGGATCCCAACATTTTCGAGCCTCATCCATGGCATCTCTTCTCGCCAACGGTGTTTCAAGCTTCTCTCCGCAACCTAGTTGCGAATTGAAACTCCCGAAGGGGTTCTGTCCGAAGCTTGAAGCTCCTAAATTTCCAATTTCAAAGGTCAAACTCAAAAGTGGAGGGCTTCTGAAGATTCGAGCTGATGTTGGTTACGATCTCAGTTCCTCACCGGGTAAGTCCTCGTCTTCAACCCTCAGCTCTGATGAGAAGATTCGAGAAATTCTCCGCAATCGCGACTACGATAAGAAATTCGGTTTTACTTTTGATATCGACTCGTTTTCGATTCCCAAAGGGCTCTCGCAAGAGACAATCCGATTAATTTCTACCTTAAAAGAGGAACCCGATTGGATGCTCGAGTTTAGGTTGAATGCTTTTGAGAAATTCTTGAAGATGAAAGAGCCTAAGTGGTCGGATAACAGATACCCGCCCATTGACTTTCAAGACATATGCTATTATTCTGCGCCCAAGAAGAAGCCCGCTCTGAAAAGCCTAGACGAAGCCGACCCAGAACTTCTCAAGTACTTCGAGAAACTGGGCGTCCCTTTAAATGAGCGAAACCGTTTGGCTAATGTTGCCGTCGATGCTGTTCTGGACAGCGTATCTATCGCAACGACGCATAGGAAGACACTGGAGAAGGCGGGCGTTATCTTTTGTTCTATATCTGAGGCTATTAGGGAGTATCCAGATTTGGTGAGGAAGTATTTAGGGAGAGTTGTGCCTAGCGAGGATAATTACTACGCAGCTCTGAATTCAGCAGTGTTTAGCGATGGATCATTTTGTTATATTCCTAAAGACACCAAATGTCCTATGCAGATTTCAACGTACTTCCGAATCAATGCATTGGAAACGGGACAATTTGAGAGGACTTTGATAATTGCGGATGACAGGAGTTTTGTGGAGTATTTGGAGGGCTGTACGGCACCTTCTTACGATAGGAACCAGCTTCATGCTGCTGTTGTAGAGTTATATTGTGCCGAAGGTGCAGAAATTAAGTACTCAACTGTGCAAAATTGGTATGCTGGGGATGAGGAAGGGAATGGGGGGGTATACAATTTCGTCACAAAACGAGGCCTTTGTGCTGGGGCTCGCTCTAAGATATCTTGGACACAAGTGGAAACAGGATCAGCCATTACGTGGAAATATCCAAGTGTTGTTTTGGAGGGAGATGATACTGTTGGCGAATTTTATTCTGTTGCTCTGACAAATAATCATCAACAAGCAGATACAGGAACGAAGATGATACACAAAGGGAAGAATACAAAGAGTAGGATTATCTCAAAGGGCATATCGGTTGGCAATTCAAGGAACTGTTACAGAGGGCTTGTTCAGGTTCAATCAAAAGCAGAGAATGCTCGAAATTCCTCCCAATGTGACTCAATGCTCATTGGTGATAAGGCAGCAGCCAATACCTATCCTTACATACAGGTAATGTACCTTTTTTGTGTCTAATTAATACTTTATTCATGTATAATTGTATGTGCTTGCAATGTAACCATAAGTATAATGCTTTTGGCTCAAACTGTTTAAATGGTGTCGATTATTCACATAAAGATTCAAAAGAAGGGAGCGATAAGTAGATGTTCTTAGGGGGGAAAATCGTTTTGATTTCTTTTCTTTTCAATTAATTACTGTGTCAAGTTAGAAATTTGCTAAATGTATTACATAAAATAGTACTCCAATAAGTCTGGAATCAGATATGAGATAATATATATTTTAAAAAAAATAAACACTTGCAATTGAATTAGACTGGTAAGGCTTGTATTGTTTGTCTTATCTAATACTTTATTTATGTACATGCTTGCATCAGTAGCCATCAATATAATACTTTTGGCTCAAACTGTTTGAAGGGTGTCAATTATTTACAGAGATTCAAAATAGGGAATGACGACAAAGAGTGGTTTTTCATAAGAGGAAAAATGTTCAGGTTTTCGTATTTCAGTTAATAATGGTGTCAAGTTAGAAAATTGCTAAATGTATTGGATAAAACAGTGCTCCAATAATTTCGGAATCACATGAGCTAATATTAAAAAAAATAATAGCAAACAATTGCAATTGAATTAGACTGGGTTGAAAGTCATCTGATAAAACCCTAAATAGATTAAATTCAGAAGAATCCGTATGTCTATTCCTTTTATAAGTGTTCTTCTTCATGGAAAGAATTATAAGCATCTTGGATGTTGTTTTACAGCATAAAATCAATGGCGGAGCCACATGTAATTGAGGGTACTTGGGAAAAATGACATGTTTGAGAGTATAGATTTTTATATTTTACAATTTGTACCTTTTACTTGTCATACTTTGCACCCCTTATTTTCATATTTTAAACTTTAAACTATTTCAATCTTACTTTTTTAGCCCAGATCTATTCAAATTTTTAACTGAGTCTCATAAATATTAGCCCACAATTTCACTCTACCTAAATATCAATATTATTTATTAATTGTTTAAAAATAGAAAAAAAAATTTAATCTGACTAAATAGACTCACTCCTCATCCTGAATACTACTCAGGGACTAGTTAAAAAAAAGACAATGATAAATAATGAAAATTCAAAACTCAAGAGTAAATTAGGTGAATGTTTTTTGCTATGTCACTGCACGTACGAATCTACAATTGAAAGCTTGATAGGGAACAAAGAAAAAGAAAGAAGAAAAGAGAAATAGTTGATTTGAAAGTGATAGAAATGTCTTCCTTTTATAAAAAATCCTGACTATGTCATTGCCCTCCCTGACTCAGGATCTGGCTCTGCCACTGCATAAAGTTATAGTACTTTTAATACAACTGAACAGGTAGTTTCTTCCGGGGCAATCCTGTTTGAAGAAGACTGAAAATTTTAGCATCCTTTAGTAATCCAATACCGAGTCTTCATCCAGATTCTCATATGCATGTTTTTCAATCACCTTGGATTAAATGAATTTTCTTTTTTTTTTTGGGGGTGGGGGGAGATGGTCGGAGGTTTAGTTTTGTTTCGGAGAGGCTGGAAGCTTTTCTGAATGAAATCTTTGCATAGGAATTTGGTCATCGGGTATCTTTGGCGAGTAAGGGTCCATCTTTTGACTAAGAGTTTTCCTATGATAGGGCAACGAGTTATATGTCTCTCGCATGTGTCAATTTATAGTCATGATGTTGAATTTCCTATCCTAACTGATCCCTCCCTCCCTTGTTCTCTCTCTCTCACCATGTCTGGTTTGTGTACAGAAAGTCAGAGTTTCATGCTTGATGTTTTAACATTGCTTAACTTTTTGCAGGTTAAAAACCCCACCGCAAGGATTGAACATGAAGCTAGTACCTCCAAAATTGGTGAAGATCAATTATTTTACTTTCAACAGAGGGGAATAGAGTACGAGAAAGCCATGGCTGCTATGATATCTGGCTTTTGCCGTGACGTATTTAATGAGCTTCCTGATGAATTTGGTTCTGAGGTGAACCAGCTAATGAGCCTGAAACTTGAGGGGTCCGTAGGTTAAGCAGTTTGTGAGGATCAAAATTACAAGTTCTTGAAAGGAAACTTGTTAGGGCCAGCGCTCGAATTTTGATCGTAGGAAGTCTTTAACGGTATTGCAGACGAAAAAGTAGTGTAAAAGGAAGGAATTATAGACGATGTAAATAGGTGGTCTCAGGTTGTGTGGCGCAGGAATCATGACTATGTATCAAATCTCAATAATTTGATGTGTTCGTGGCGGGAATGTGTTGCGTGGCATAGCCGATCATTGTATAAGCCGCATTATGTATAACTTATATTTTGTGTTTTTTTTTTTTTTGCCATAAATTATATATATCGATTCATATTTTAGGTTATATCGTGTATCATTATTTGCTTATCTTGGCGGCATCAATGTATGAATTGATGTTAGGTTAGATGAGCAGTATAACATTTTTTTAAACTTCACTTATTAGAGATGAAGCTGAGGTCAAAATAATCTATTAGAAATGAAAGCTTAGATTGATTTATATCAGAAGTTTCGAAAGATTTAGCTCAATTTTTAATATTTTAAAAAAGAATTATTTCATTCATGATTCAGGAGGGTTGGCTGTATGTCTTCTTGAAAAGGTTTCACGTGGGAGGGGGCAACACTCATGCTGGTGCATTCGATAGTTGGACAAAATACTGTCGCGGACAAGATTTTTATCATTTGGCAGAGAGGAAAAAAAAAAAAAAAGTTGTGCCTTGTGAAGTATTCAATCTATCTATATATACTGGCGCTTACTTTCCTGTGCATGGCACGAGAAGATGAAAAGGAAAAAGAAGTACTTCAATGAAATACCAGTTACAATGCATCAATATATTGTATTTAAAATGCCAAGTTTTAAAATGGCACAATAATTCCATCCAAATAATAAAGATATGTCCAATGAGAATTATTAATCAGCACAAATTATGAAGTTGTATGTAAACGCACCTTCTTCATGTCAAATTACAAAATATTTTAGAATATATCACATTTGTAGTTGTACTTCCTTTACTATGACTATCATCATTTAATAGTATTCTTGGCCCATCACTTCTTTTAATTTTAACTTGAGAAAGAGCAATATAAAGTTGTTCATGTGTGAAAGCTAACTTTGTCAAATACAATCTTACAAAATTCAACGATTGACATTGGCTTTTATTTATTAGTAAAGGATAGAATAATAGAAAGTTGTCTTCTTTTCATTAAAAATGCCAACCAACTTTTTAAAAGATTCATATCCATTTTATGAATTAGGACCTTTTGCCTACTCAATGTTAAACTTTCATATATAACTTACTAAGTTTTATGATCTTAAGTGTTTATTTGGTTTTCAGTTTATTAAGAGTTCATTTGCTAAAATTTTATTTGACAAAAATTAGTTCAATGAAAGTCAATAGGTGTAACGAAATTTATATTTAAATATATTTTTTTTAAAAGTTAGCCTGGTAAACTTAAAAGTTATTTGGATTATAGTAGTGAAATGTACTTTTAAAAAATATGATGCAAATGTAATATATTTGAAATATTTAAAAAATATGATAAAGATTTTAAATAACATAAAATTTGATCTACAATATTAAAAACTTGATCTCTAATTATTTTTATTTTTTAATTTTTAATGTTAAAAAATGTGATAAAGATTTGTATTTTTTGTTATACATTAATGTTAAAAATTAATATAATTAATTATTCAATTTATAATGCTAAAAACTTGATATCTAATTATTATTATTATTTAAATGATAATTATATTTTTTATAAATTAACTACATTTTAAATACAAAAAATAAGACATTAAACTTGTGACAGCATGATCAAATAATATTTCACTTTTTAAATTCACTTTGAAAAGTTTAATCATTTTACATTCATCAAATCCATTTTCAATAACATCCACAAAGCACTTTTAGGATACATTTTCATCTTCTTATTATTTTTCCAAACAACATTTCACATCCCAAACATGAGAAAGTACTTCTCAAAGTTAAAAGTGAATTACCCAAACACACCCTAAGCCTAATTTCATTACATAAACATTGTGAAACATTCAATCTATCCATATATCTATAGCTATACTCTATCTATACACTTACACTTATATTCTACACATCTATATCTATCTATTCAATCTATATCTATCTATCTATCTATATATATATATCATTAAGCACAATGTTAAAGCATTGTAGATCTACAATGCTTTGAACAGTGAGCTTTACTTTTTTATTTTTTAAAAATTAGTTAATAGGTGATTTTATTGAAATTGTGACACCCATGGTAAAAAAGTGGGTGTTAAATCTGTCATTAAAAAATTGTGGATAGGAGGCCCATAATTTAATTAATAAAAAACTTTTGCTACACATTTATAAATGTTAAAAATTTAGACAAGGTGTAAAAAATAATAAAATTTTATATTTTGAAAGATCATATATGATTCATGATAAAAATTAGCAATGGATATAAAATTCTTAGTAAAAATAATAAGTATTAAATATGCAAATAAATTACCAATGGTTAAAAAATGGATGTGGGATCTATGATTTAATTAATAAAATTTATTTATATAGGATGAAAAATCTTTTCCATATAAATTCTCATTTATAAATAAGCTTGTATAACTAATAAATTTAAAATATGAATAAAAAATTAAAAAAATTTATCAAGAATGATATTTTAATTCAACACATATAACTTCACTGCTAACTAATAGTAAGATGAATAAAAATAAAAAATTTAAAAGTAAAAAATATATTTATATTTTATAACTCTTGACTATTGATTTTAATAGAGACTTGTATAAATTTTAAAAATAAAATAGAGATCTTTACAATTAAAATAAAATAGAGGAGAGAGCAATGTATTTTACTTTAAGTAAACTAAAATAATTTGTTAATATTTATTTTTATTTTTATCTTTTAAAACTAAAACACGGGGCATAAATGTAGTTCAATTGTGATAGTAATTCAAAAACACTGAACATTTGACCCCAATGATTCAAGTCAGCCGAACAACAAATATTCAGGGGTACACATTTTCTATATCATTTACTCCATTTTACCCCTACGATAAAAGGGGTGTAATAGTGATCATTTACAACGAGTATACATCTTATTTACAAATGCTCCCAATTCATCGGGCGCCCAATAACAGATAGTCAATGACACGAACCGCCATGAGAAGAGCGCTCATAGACTGGCGGCAATACCGTTCCTGTAATAGCAGTCGCAAACGGGAAGGAACAATGAATCAGCAAGCAAAAGATCAAGCAGCTGAGAAATGAAAGTGAAAAAGTCGGTTAATTTTCAAGACTTGTAGAAGAGGTGTGACCATCTTTTCCCAACGATTTATTTTTGGTGCTATATCATTGCCATTACAAACACAGAATCTCTGCTCCCATACTCACAAATTGGGGTGCAAGTATTCTGCCACTGTAAGGGGTTTAGGACCGCCAAACCAATCGATTAGAAATATATTATCGATTTCTAATTTGTAGACTTCAAAGTCGTGATCCTCAGGCCAGCCTGTTGAAATTAAAGAAGCCTCGATCAGTATATTAGCAATCAATAAGAAAAGGTAAGAAGGCGGCAATCACAAGAAGTCATGCGAACACTGAATGAAAATATGCTTCTGATCCATCAATTCTGTTCGGAATTTACCTTTCATCTCCGAGTGCTTGGAAAACAAGGCACTTCTAGCAAATTCGGCTTCCGCAGATTTCTTGTCAACTAACTTCAGCTGAAACGAAGATGCAGCGATATCAAATTCCAAGAGCCTAACTTATAAAAAAGGCGTCCCAAAAAAATAGATTTCGTTATGGTTTTCCCCTTTGCCAAGGGAGTTGATGTAGATTTATAGGTAAATGTATTTTGGACTCTGGAGAAACCTAACTAAACAAATAAAAGCAACAAAATATTATTTACCCTAAAAAAGGCAACACAATATCAAATTAACGACTTCCAGTTTCATGATATATAAATTGCCATGACTTTTTCTTATATGATCAAGGAGGCTCCCTCACCAAACCTAATTAATTGAATACTTGCAGCTATTTGCAGGAAATGAGGCAAGGCTGCATCATGTTTTGAAAGATGCCACAAAATTATAGCTGTCTTGTTATTCTGATGATAACATTTCAAATGGTCATGGGAAAGTAGGACACATTAAACACTTACAATTAACGTCATGGAAGAGCAATATAGTATACAAGTAAAAAGGGGAAAGTGTTGCACCAAAAAAGGTGTTTTTTTTTTTGGGGGGGGGTGAGAACATGAGATAACTATCATAAGGAAATCGTCTATTACCAGGGAATAGAGGGACAGCATGAGATAACAAGGTTGAGAACCTTCTTGGTGTCAGCTCACTTGATAAACATACAAAATTATCAACTACAGCAAAAATATGATATTCTAATGGGGCATGCACAAGAATGAAGACCAAATAGAATATAATTTAGCTACAAAGTGTAAATTCCAGAAAGAAAGGCGCAGAAAATGTAAGATTTTGATGTCAGGGTTACACATGCTGTGCAATCAGACTCAATAGTATTCATTTTCTCCAGTACCTTTCCAATTAGAGTAATTTTGGCACAAGTAGGATTCTCTGGATCTATCTTGCCACAAGATCCAAGAGGGTACTCACTGACGGTAAACGAAGCTCTTTCATCCTTCAGAGCATTTCTTGCTGTTGGATCTAGAGCTGTCAAGTAAAAGTATGGGATGCCACTGCATTTGTCAGGTAGTCCATCGCTAAACGATACCACATTCCTGCAAATAGTTAATGCCATGTTACAACTTCTTTTGAAACAGATTATGCTGGAGTACCATTAAGATGGAATACATGAAAAAATTGTTGGAGTACTTTAAACTTCTCCTGCATAAGCTAGAAGGTTGAAATGATTATTGATTCGGTATCATTATAATAGTTCTTGTCCTTGAAATTATTGAACACAGTTTTCCATATATCTGATATTAATCAGTGAAATTTTATAAAGCATGTGATATTAGTAAATGTGTATCTTCAGCGCAGGAATTGTTAAATTCGAAAAACTGGTGATGTAGAATATTAAAATAAAAGTAATATATCATTACCCAAAGGGCGCTCCACCCAGTTCACTTGAGATAGTACTGCAGAGAAACAAAGGGAATAAGATTGTGGCTTCGATATTTGAGTTTCACAAGATAAATGTATGACAAAGATCAGAGTACAGATCACAATAACGAGTTTCCAAGAGGATATGCCACTGCATTTGTATAACAAAAAGCTTCCATTAACTTGACCAATATTTGCAGCAAGGAGATGATCTATATAACAAGGGAAGTGAAAAAAGCTATATGCATTGAGATTCAACTTTGGCTCACAAGCGAAGTCAGGGATAGGAGTCAAAATGGAAGGTGAGATCATTCACAATTTATCAACCCCTAACCACAACGCTGAAACACTCAATTCCAACACTTAACATTGAAGAAATTGATTCACGGTTAATATGATCACAATTTACTGATAAACCTAGCTCTGCCAAAGTATTCCTGCACAATATGTGGCTTTAATGACCATCAATAAGCGTTACCCAACAAACAGTCAATCATAAGAAAAGGTAACAACGGTACAAACAGAAAATGGGCGAAAAGAGAGAGAAACAATGAAATTGGGTCAGGCACTTGGGGACGGAGAGAGTTACTTTAAGACGCCCCAGGAATTTTGAGAGACCAGCCAGCGAGCAGTGGCGGCAGCATCATTCGGGTCGGGCTTCGTTGGGATAGAGAGTGATCGCCCATGGACGCCCATTGAAAAGAAGGTGAATTGAGCAGCGTAGAAGAGAAGTAGGGCCCTGAGAAAGATTCCCATATTCTGTGTGGAAGTCGAGAGGCAAAGTCAAGTCGAAGAACCCAGGAGAGGGAGACGATAAGATTATTGATAGACCCGGCGGCATTTTTGTATCCGAAAAAGAACCTGAAAATATAAACGCAATCGTAATGATAAAAACTAAAAAGAGAGAGAAAGGGATATTATCCGTGGGAATCAGAGTAAGATAGGACATTTATTGGAGCCAAAATTTCGGAACTTGTCAGGAAACGCAACAGTATATAGCATTAATGCCCTTCAGATTGTGGAAGATTTTTTGATGAAATTAAAATTAAAATTAAAATTAAAATTAAATTTTAAAAATGTGTTTAATATAAAAATAAAATTTTAATATTATTTTAACAAATATATATTTAAAATAAGAAAAATCTAAGATCCCCTTTTCAAAATAAAAAAATTTACCCCCTTCTAAATGTTATAATCACTTAATTAGCAAGAGTACGGTACTGCTCTCATTCTAAAAAGAACTGAATAGTGATGTTGGAGGGCAGAGACATCTCGTGGCTGCAATTCTTTGGAATCAAACTGATTTCATCCTTGTCCTGGTGGGATTGAATTCCAACAATTTTATTAAAATTATAATTTTTAAAAATTATAATTTTAAACTACCAAACATATCTAGAGTCAGATTTCATTTTTATTTTTGTTTTCAAATCAAAAATTCAAGGATATCAAATGGGGTCTATACTATCTACCCAACATGTATATGTGTGTATGTATGTATATACATATAAGTGTGTGTATCCTTAAACTAGACTATTTATTTTCAATTAAATTAATATATGTGTGTTGTTTATAGATTATTAATTTTATAATAAATTTTTGATATAATGTTATTAATTAACACATTAAATTTTTTTTGTTTTAATCTGATTAGATAAAAGTATATCAAATATATAAAATTTAAAACATAAGCCTTACTCTATTATATTTATTTCACTCTGAGATATAATTAAAAAAATTAAAAAAACTTAAAAAATTAAAATTTTAACTCATTATTTTTCCTTTAGTTCAAAAATATAAGACATTTTTTAAGAAGTTTAATGTTAAAAAATATAAAGTATTTTTAGTCCTTCAATGTGTAATGATTGCCTTTTTTCAAAAAGTGTCCCTATTAATAAATAACTTTATATTCATTGTAGAGTGTTTAATGGAGGTAAATATGAAAAGATTAAGTTAATTTAAAAGTAAGTAACTATTTTATTAAAGATAAAATTAGATTAAAAATATCTTATATTTTTAAATAGATGAGTAACAATTATTTATATTGTGTGGTCTAGAGAGAGTATAATACATTTTTTATAAGGTAAGATGTTAAAAAATACATAACATTTTAGGTCTTTCAATTTACAAGTAATGAGGCTTTTAAAAAAAAATACACTTAATTAATGATATAATTGATAAGATTTTGTAATTGAGATAACTTATTAAAAAAAAAAAGGTAAACACGCAAAAAGTATGTAATTTTAAGGATAACTAACTAACTCTTTGGAATTTTAATTTAAAGAGTTTTCTCGGTCCTTTACGCAAGTCACTTTCCCTTGTTTTTTTTTTCTCTTTTTGTAATATTTGATTTACAATTTCAAAATTACATACTCCATCAAATCCTAAAAAAAACAATGCAATATTTTAATTCTCAATAAAACTCTTCTAGTGTATCAAATCACTATTTTTTAAATTCAGGTGCAAAATTAGAAAGTGATTTATTTTTAAAAAACAAGTTTACGGCGAGTTGGTTGAAAGTGGCCCAAAAAACATACTGGAGGGAGTATCAATAATTAATTACTTTTAAAAAATACCAAATTTTATTGAGGAAAGGGTGAAAATTAGATACTTAGCATTATATGTTTAATGTATTTTTATCCAATCAAATAAAAACAAACAGTTTTTAATGTATTAATGGAATTAAGGATTAACGTATAAGTTTACGTGTAAAGATTTGAGCCAAGCGCAATTAATATATTGGAGTATTTTTTGGCACAATGTCGCTTTAGCTTTTTTTTTTTTTAAGGGTTTGAATCCTATGCCTGTATCAACTACAAAAATTGGGTGCCTATACCCATGTCGCAAAATCCACGCTTTATCATAATTTTTTTGGAGAATCAAGTGACTTGCAAGAATAACAATGAAAATGCTGTGAGAGAATGTAAAGCTTGATGATATTACTTGAAAAAGGCAAATACAATGAGGAGCTCTGTAAATACGAAGAAGCAAATAAGTTTGGGAAACTAACATAAGAATTTAAGTTTGCACAGAAAAAGTGAGTTACACAGGGCAAGGCTGAAGATGACATAGGGTCGAGAACAGAGTGACTGCACCAGGCAAGTATAGTGTAAATTTGATAAAATGTTGAATCCCATTTAGTTACTCATTTGTTGGCTACTTATAGCAAAAAGACAACAACACACTCCTCTTGAATTTTGATTTTGGCACCATTTGGAGTAAATAATTATTTGTGTCCCTAACTTTTTGGGGGAGTTTCATCATGTGAAGTAGTGGGTATAGGAGGAGAGCCCCAATAATCTTAAAGAGTCTAACTTTCCCTCAAAATACATTGTCCTACTTATTTTCGCAAAGTTAAATCGTAATTGGGTCAAGTTTTCTTTCCTCTTATTTGTGCTTTGAGAACCTTTTTAATTGGGCCCAACGCTTTGATTCTTGGTTCAAACATATTTTTATCATTATATTATTGTTTTTTTTTTGCAAGATTATTGTTTATTTCTCCTAGATATGTTACTCGATGGTATAGGAAATCAAGGAATATTTTATACTAACAGTAACTAAGGAATTTGATAATGTAGAAGATGTTGTAATAGTTGAATGATGTGTCAAAATGCGGAATTCCACGTTGCTCATCTAAAAGGAGCTCTAAGGTATAAGTATCAAAGAATAAAAGTAACTAATAAAAAAAGTTTGAAAAAGAAGTAGACTCACACACATAAAACATGTCAATGCAAGCAGTTGTAATTGAAAATAGTTAATTTCTCCCGCTGCGTGCGAGTCAAGGCAGTATTGGGACACTTTTTATCGGCTTAATTTTTCACAAAATTAAATGATTATTTATTTCAGATAGCTTATCCGAAGGTCCTTAGATTTGGCTGTTTGAAATTCGAATGTGAACCTCTTCAAATTTTTGGGCGTTAAACAGAAATCTTAAATGTATTTCATTAAAGTTAGTTATCGTCCAATGGTCCTAGACAAGCACTTAATGGCGGTTTTATACAATTGCAAGCGATATTTTATGGCTTTTAATCTGGCATTTTAGTCCCAATGTGTCCTAATCACAGCCTATGTATAGGCTTACATGCAGACAGAACAAATATGCTAGCCTTTGAGTTTTTGAACTATTTCTCTCCTCGTCCTGTCATGTTCTTAAGTAAATTTTTTGTTTAGTTTCTTCTGTTCTATTTTCCTACTTATTTTGTAGGATAAATCTGTTTAATTTTAAAAAATTATCATGCGAACATACTAATATGTTAAAATAATTTTTAAAAATAATGTCTTTCTGCATGATTTAAGCTTGAATTTGTTACCTTCCGCCAATAGAAGAGAGCATGGAAATTTTGGCTTGATCAAGAAAGTTCTGAATTTGAAACTAAAAATGGGATGTACATTCATCACGTGATGTTTTAAGAGATTTTAATGTATTTAGATTCGCTGTTTCCTAATTCTGTCTGCAATAATATTCTCCAAACCCTTAATTTAATTGACAATATAAATTTCGTCACGCAAATATAGCCCCTCAATACTTGTCCAGATCCATTTTCAAAAACGGTACAACTAGCCTTGAATTATTAGGAAGCATGGATGGCATTAATTTATTACGTGAGTCCCACAAAATGATCCCACCTGTGCGTCCATTTGAAATGAAGTAATTCACGTGTCAGCCACTTTTTTTGTTAACTCATTTCTACTTTTTTTACGCTTCTTCTTTGTCTTTTCAACTTCATCCCACCACTCTCTGGAAAGAGATAATCAGATCTCTTTTATTATCTTATTCGAACTAAACCCAGCCATGAACTTTGGCGTGTTATTTTGGTCGAACTCAACCTACACTCGCCTCATCTCTAACCCAATGAACATGGTGGCCAACTACACACTCGCCCTCTACACCCGCGACACCAAGTTCGCTCTTGGTTAACATATTTTGGAATGGAATCAACCCAAAATGGTCTTCTGCTCTGAAATGAGAATTACAGAGGGATTAAATTGGTGTGTTAATCTCCATTAATGGTGGAGGTCAAGTCGCAAACTACGGGGTTCGTGAAGCAGCTCCTTGTGCTGGTGACGGTGGGGAAATTAAACTGAAAGGTGAATTTGCCGCGATCTCGCCTTCTTCAAGTCATCAGAATCATCCCCACCAGTTTTGATTCGGATCTGTCCATGATGATTCCATCGATCTGATAGCCATGTACCTTAATTTCAAGCAAGAAACTTGAGCAAGTGTGGTGCTGAAAAAGCTTGGTGACGTTCCCACCATCTCCAACCTCTGCTTCATCCTCTACTCTTCTTCCCCTGCGATAATGGAGAAGAAGGGTTGAAGAGGTGAGATTGAGGAAGAAGAAGAAGTGGAGAGCTTTGGCCGAACACGGGTTCTGAACACGAGCATATCTGAGATGGAGAATGTGTGATATGCGACATGTGAGTACGACCGCTTGACTGAGTGAGTGAGTGATTGAGGTTAGAGTCGGAGATGGAGGATCCTCATGTTCATATCGTGATTTGAACTCAATGAACGCCAGTTGGGAGTGTTGAGTGAGTCATCCACGACTACAAGTGGAGATGGTTCAACTAGCGTTCGAAGGCTTCGTCGTCTGAAAGGGGCTCGTCAGCATTGGAGAAGAAGAAGGCGAGGAGGAAGAAACATTGACCTGCTCCACTTTAGGAAAAGCAAAGGAAAAAGGAATTGACCTTGCTGCTCATCAGTGTGATGTAATCGAGAATGCTTAGATTTTAATTTAAATAGTTTAAATTTAAAATATTATTTAATTTTATATATATTTAAATAAAAAATTATAAAAATTATAAAATGATTTTAATAAATTATTTTATTTTTAATTTAATCTAGATTTAATTTAAAAAGTTCAATTTAATATTGGAAAAACATAATTTTGAACATTTGCATTTTGTTATAAATCACTGTATTTTTTATGTGTTTTAGGTCTCTCCATTTTTATTTTTTGATGTTCTAAATCTTTTTAATATTCCTACACTTTGTTCATTTAGGGGCATAAAATATTGAAAAATAAAAGTGTAAAGATCTAGAATACTGAAAAAAATGTAAGGACCTATAGCAAAACGTGAATAAAATATAAGGATCTAAAATTATGTTTTTTCCTTTCATATTAAAATTTTTACAATTGTTATATGACAATCAAATAATAATTATAAAAATTTTAATATTAAATTAAATTTAGACCGAATTAGAAAAAATATATATAATAATTATAAAAATTTTAATATTAAATTTAACCTTACAAATTAAATTTAGACCAGAATAAAAATTAAAATTATTTATAATATTTATAAGTTTTTATTTAAATAAATATAAAATTAAATAATATTCTAAATCTGAATATCTAAATTAAAATTCACTAGTCCAAATTAGATCACACTGATGGGCACCCTACTGATAAACGCGGCAGACGGACCCGAGGAAATATATGCCACATGCTGACCAGCATTTGTTAATATTAATGCTGGGGCGCAATTACCTTTACGGCTTTTGTTTTTAATATATAATTTTATCATCATCATCATTTATCATTTTTTATTTCTTCTTCCCATATTTTAAAAAATTTATAATATTATCATAGATTAATATATAATCTAAATACTAAACTATAGGTCCATGAACAATATGAACCATAAATTTTTTTAAAAAAGTACATTTTAAACACTAAACAATTAAAATTGAAATAATTTTATTCTTATCGTTAATTTTTAACAAATGTCCATCAAATTAGAATTTAAAGTACAATTTTTTCTAAATAAATTTGACGGACATTTTTGAAGATTAAGGGTAAGGGTAAAATTATCTTAATTTTAATTGTTTATGGTTCAGAATGTAACTTTTTAAAGTTTGGAGTTCAAATTGTCTCTGGACCTATAATTTAGGGTCTAAATTACATATTAATCATAACAAATACATAGTAAATTTTTTCATCTAAACCATATTATTATCCTCATATAAATTTTATTGTATATCTAACACACATCATTTTTACTAAAAATCTTATATTCATTTTTAATTTTTACTATGAATCCCGCATGATTTTTTAAAATATAAAAATTTTATTATTTTTTACACTTTGTCTAAAATTTAAACATTTACAAATGTAGGTTCTACATCCACATTTTTTAATAATAGATCCCACATCTACTTTGTTTACCATAAGTCTTGCAACTATATATATATATATATATATATTATTTTTTTTAACAGAATCATTCATTACTTAAATTTAAAAAAAATTAAAAATTAAAAATTAAAATTTAAAATTAATTACTAATTAAATTACTGGTCCGGTAGCTAATATTTTTACCATTAGTAATTTCTTTATATATCTAACACATATTATTTTTACTAAAAATTTCTTATTCATCATCAATTTTTGCTTACTCTTGCATGATTTTTTACAATATAAAAATTTTATTATTTTTATATTTTGTTTAAATTTTTAAAATTTACAATCCCACACTCATAATTTTTAATGGCATGTTTCAAACCTACTTTTTTTATTATGGTCCCATAATTATTTTTTTAACAAAATCATCCACTAATTAAATTTTTGACAAAAATATAAAAGATAGAGAAAAGTACTGTTTAAAACACTGTACTCCAAAAACACCCCCACAGTCGTAAAGCAACATTCTACCGCACTCGACGTCCCAATAAAAAAAAAAAAAAAGAGCAAGGTGACTCAACATGATATACGTGTTGGGTCCACCGAAATTAATGAGGAAAATTAATATCTTGGTTATTGTTGAAATAACTGTACTTCCCCTTCGAACTTTGAGATCCCCATCCCTCCGATCTCACAAGAATAAAGTCATAAACTGAAGCGGAGAGTGTTTTCTTGTCACCAATGGAGTTTCTCAGCTTCGCTGTCGCGGCCGGTGGATTCATTCTAATTGGGGCTCATGAAGCTTTCAACGCTACCATTTCTAACTCCACCCACATCCATAGTCCTTCTCCCCTTTCAACCACAACATCTTCTAAATCGAATTCTCAAATTAAGAAAACCCCTGCTCCATCCTCTCTTTCTTTCCTCTTTGTCTCCGTCTTTTCCTTTTTCGCCATCGTAAACTCCCTGGTATCACTCGTGGACGCTCAAATCTCCCATGACCCTGTCGGATCAGCCCTTCAATGGCAAGTGTTAGCCGTTGCTTTGATTTTCCTATTGTACTCCGTCCTTGGTCTTATGGTCCATGTCTCAAGTTCTTTATATTTGCCTTCCTCGTTGCTTGGCTTGGTCGGGGCTTTTGCTTTTGTGGAAGAATTTTTGTTGTTTTACCTTCAGAGGAAAGACCCCAGCGGAGTAGAAAACCGTTATTATGATCTGTTGCTGGTGCCCATCGCCGTCTGTGTATTCTCTACGATCTGTGAATTTCATTCCCCGACATCGAATCTGCCGAGACTGACTCGTGGGTTTGGATTGATTTTACAAGGAACGTGGTTTCTTCAAATGGGTTTGTCGTTTTTCACTAGTTGGATGGCTCATGGCTGTTCCGTGCGCCAAGTGAGCAGAGGAAATTACACTTTATGGTGTAAGGGACACCCTGAATTTCACAGAGGTAGAGCAATCGCCACGCTTCAATTCAACTGCCATCTTGCTCTCATGGTGGCACTGTTTGTTGGGTTTTTCTCAACAATCTCTTGGAAAAATGGAATTCCCGTGGATTCTACGCAATATAGGCCCATCGGATCGGAAATGCAGTCTTTCCAAAATTCGGCTCAGTTCACTTTGGATTCTGACGGCGATAGCGACGAAGAGATTAAAGAAGACAAATCAGCAATGAAGAAGTCGATTGTGGTTGAATCGGGCATGAATGGTTTCGGCTCTCACCATTGAGTTTGATCTATCAGATTAGAGGTGGTGAATGAATCGATGAATCATATGATTCTAGTAGAACTGTCCTCCTTTTTGATGTTGGCAGGATAATAAAATCACTTTGTATAAATGAATTTATATTTTATATCTGTGTTGCTGGCATTCACGTCTAATTTTGCTCGAGTTCATGTGACATTTTATCTGCAACTTCTAGAATTGAATGCTGATTTTTCCCCCGTCCTTATAAGTTTGCATGACTCCATATTCGATGGTGTCATTCTGAGTAGTTTGAAAATCTCTTGACAACTCTGTATTCTGAGTAGTGGTTAGCCAAAGTGATCGTTTGGCATGTGTAAGATCAGAGCCTTAAGCTGGCCAATGGTTCGAAATCATTAGCATTGTTTAAGATACCTCGGAATAAGGTCTAGAAGTTATGAATCATAGATCAAAATGAAACAACGCATAATATCTGTTACTCAAGGGTCTGCCAGTGCCAAGTAGACGGTGTTATGTAACTTGTAGCAGTTAATTTGAATGGTACGGTATCCCTGGTCCGTTAGATGGTTTGGTATGATATATTAGTTCCTCTTGTGGCTTCTCTTTAGTCATATTTATCCCCTTTGTCTGATTCAACATGTTGACAGCAGAATGTGAAATCGTAGTTTAAGTTATGTCCAAAGGCATTATTTGTAAGAATTATTCCATCACATTAGGTTGATCATACGACAACTTAGAGAGATTAAACATACTCTTTCTGCAAAAAATAAGGATATAAAAAAATTAAAAATTCACAGAATAAATTTAAGTAACAGTACGGGGAAACAGTGTGATAGAAAAAGAGAGAGAGACAAAGCACAAAGGCTCTTCTTAAATTTGTGGCAAACACTGTCTTTTAAAAGTAGATCTCATAATATTGGGCAACAAAATCATGTTAATCACAATTAAAAAATAGTTTCAAATAATAATGCTATTTAAAGTAATGTTACAAAATAATAAATCGATTTAAATAATAATTAATATTATTAATTTATAATAATTTCTCTTCAAATACTTATAAATATTTTATAATATCTAACAATCCTTTATATCTTTCAAAATGGAGGAAATTCTTTTTTGGAAAACTATTTTATACAATAATTTTTGTAGTCCACAAAATAGTTTCCAAACTTTTAGAAAAAGGCCAGCATGATTAATACTACGGGCCCATTTGATTTTCTTCCATTTCACATTCATAAAGTAAAATTTTACTTTTAAAAAGTTAAAAATTGTTTGGGTAAAATATTTTACAGGAAAGCATATTCTAAACGTGTATCAAATTATACATTTAAAAACATATTTCACTATCACAATCCAAACAACTTTCAGTGTATCAAATTGACTTTTGAAAAAATGTATCTAAACACAAATTTCGTTACAACAACTAACTTTCACTAAACTGACTTTTACCAAATAAACTTTTACCAAATAAACTTTTGATAAATTAAAAACCAAACACACGCTACATCTAACTCACATGTAGGGAAAATAAGTAGATTTCAATTGCATTTATGTAAGCCCACTTTTCCTTCAAACCTATTTATTAGCCCAAGATCACACCTTATTATACATGCATTAAGGCCTCCATCCATCTGAGCAACATGAAACTTTCATTTCTGACACAACTATAACAATCCTCTACGTGTCAAAAGGATCACTACCATTTGAGTTGTTCACATGGAAGATGATCATTTCGAACCCGGTGTCTTTCGACTAGAACTAAACATAGACCAATAAAACTTAGTACACAAAAAAATTAATGTAACTTTGTTATTGAACCAACAAATTTGGGTATATACTAGAGGTCTTATTAGTCAGATTATACCCCCATAATTTTCGATGTTAATGATGGTTTTGTGTCTGGTTTTAACAAATACTTCAGAGATTTTGCCACGATAAGAGCAGTCTTACTCCACATTCATATAGGTGATTTTATCAAGTATATTGGTAATAAATACATCATCCACAAAAACTATGAAAATCATTAAGAGCTTTTGCTTAGTTTTTGATCAATGTATTCTAGCACTTTTTTAAGCCATAAGAAGGGACAAAAAATTTAGTGCTAATAGAACTAGCAAGTAACTTGTTTTTACTCATTGAATCTTCTTCATGGGATCTTTAATTATTAAGGTTGGGTTGTCATCACCGTTAGTTTCAAATTGGCTTAAATCTCATTCCCCTCAACATTTTAATAATTAATTTCTTCCCCAGGGGCTCGTTAACAGATCCGCTAGATTTATATTTGATCTCACACAATTGATTGAGATAACTTTCTCTTTTAGCATGCTTAATCGTATCTCAAATAATATTCACTTGTGTCATTGTTCTTTTTATAATGACTATTATCATTTGGCAATTCCACAAAACATCAACGCAGCATGTGTCGATTTTACTCTTAATACAATATTTATCGAGAAGTTTCTCAATTACTCAGCCTTTTTACTAGCTAACTTCAAAGTCATATACTTTGGCTTACATAATATTTTATTTAGCTACTAACAAATTTTTTCACATCAAAATATAAAAGTTAATTACTTCATTAAATTAATTTAATACAACAAAAATTCATTATTCATGATACCAATATTCATGGTATTCCTCAAATAATCATTTGTCTGGTCCTCTTATGAGACTACAATTGATGTGCTCAATCTCCACACAGTATATGTTATGGAATTAATATTGATTAATGCAACAAGCTCTCAAAATTTTGTACATACATATATACATAGATTGCATAATAAAATCATCTAGTTTACATTCTTTTTTAATAATGTGTTTGTATTGTGGGAATACTCATTGACACTAAGTGGAGATTTTTCACAACTTAGCCTCCAATTTCAGAGTAATAAACTCTATAATCCTATTACTATATTTGTTTCTATCACGACTAAGGGTGGATAATCACTATTAGCTCTTCTCACATTAACATTTGTATATTTCATATACCGTTCTATAATTTAGAAAATATTATATTTATCTCAAATGGACCATAACACATACATAAATCATTATTCACAATCACAATAATGAATGCTCATGCCAAGTTAATTAAATAAGTCATGCTTTAAATTCAAAATATAGTTATCTAGACTAAATAAATGATTATATTTTGTGTGCCATCATCATAATGCTTATATAAGTGACACAAAATTTCAAACTTCACCCTCGTGTAAATAATAGCCTACTATTAATTAACTTACCCCTCTAAATCACAACACAAAAACATCTTGACATTTGCTTGTTGCTATTCTGAATTTGCTCTGTTGGCTTATACGGTCATTCATGGATTACCTTACCACATTAAACGGAGTAGTAAGGGGGTGACATGTGTGGTTTGATTTAAAAGGGGGGAAGACTTGTCAGAAATACTAATCTCTCATTGCTTACAACTTGCAAAAAATTAAAGTTTGAGACTTCATATATCACATCGAAGGATGTGTTTAGTTTGAATGAGAAGAGAGATCTTAATGATATCTTATTTGATTTAGGAGAAATAAGGAGATAATAATTAATTTCCTATTATTTCCTCATATAAAGTATTTTTCCACCTTAATTCAATTATAATTTTTAAATGGTGTATTTTATTAATAAATTGCATATTAATTATTATTATATATTGATATTAATTAAATATTTGTCTCATATTAATGAGCAAATAAAACAAAGAAATAAGAGATATTGCTTTGGGAGTTGATTGTTTTATTGCAATAACAATGGAAACAAATCTTCAAAACTTTATAAAGGAAAGACCCTCTAAATGGTTGTTGCTGCAAGGGTAGAGAACTAGAGATCGAGTGATGATAACAAGGTGGGTTTCATTGTTGCTCAATCTTAGTCTTGTTGACAATAACAAGGTGGCTTTTAAGGAGGGTGTGATTAGAAGAGTTATGGGTGGCTGTTTTATTAAGTGGCTTGCTAGATTGCCAAGCAGTGGATATAGAGGCAAGGATTTTTTTATAAACATAAAGGCATTTATGAGATATCAATAAAAAATCAAGATCAATATACTCAAAAAATTCAATTCTCCTCCAAAAATACTTTAAATAAGAGAAGAGTGATATGAGAATAGAGTAGGTGGAAATTTTGGCTTCCCTCCCCTCTAAAATTTTCAACCAAATGAGGAAAGGGATCATCTCCCCTCCCTTCTAAGACTTAATGAAATTTGAGTGTTGAAAATTAACGATATAGTGGTATTTGAGAATTTAAGAAAAACTTGAACACTAATAAAAAGACGAAGAGTAGAAAAAAGAAATAAGGAGGATGAAGATACTTCAAAAAGTTTGGCACAGTCGGTGCTAAATGATAAATTCTAGGAGCCTCATAGAGAGATATTTTTGCAAGAGAATTAGCCTCTTGCTTCTCCTTACAATTAATATGACATACATCCACAAACCAATTCTAGCTAAGCATCTTATGAACCTCCATAATGATACTTCAGTATTCATGAAGCTCCACATCATTGCCTCTTATTAGATCCATAACAGTTGTAGAATCATAATGAAGAATAATGGACTGCTATCTACTCTGCTAAGCACTTTCTAAACTAGTTAAGCAAGCCTATAATTCAACAGTGAGATTATCACCACTCTGTAATCGAAGCATAAAGGCATTCAAGATAACCCCATTTTGATCCTTAAGAACTCCCTCACAGCCCACAACATCAGTTTGTTCTAAAAAAGCTACGTCAACACACAATCTTAAGCTTTTTGGCACTTACTCATGTACTTTAGAGCCACCAACACATGACTAGAAATTGAATTACCAGATTCCATAACATTTTTAAAACACACATGTATTCCTTCTCTTTCATAAAAGCCAACAGATAGTCATAAACCAACAATTTCATTTAACCTCAGAAGACCTAACTTCAGTTGTAAGATTGAGCTGACATCATTACCATAGCTGGGAATTAAAAAATTGATTAACAAATTCAACATACTTTCTCCATAAGCTCTGAACCTCCAAGCAATCATGTAAAACATGTAAAATATCTTCATCAACAAACTTACACCATTTATAGAGGGTATCGTTACTCATATGCTTTTTAACTCTCATCTGATTAGTCAAAAGTCAATCATGTAAAACCATCCACATAAAGGATTTACTCGGTCACAGAATTCAAAGCTTCCAAATCTTAGCCCAGAGAGGAGAGGATGAAGGCTCTTCATCCTTTAATAATGAATAAGCAGATTTGATAGAAAAGTGACCATGCTTATCAATCTTCCACCTCACTGATTCTTTCCCATCCTGCACTATACATCTTTCAATTTCAATCTGGAGAGTCCTAAATTTTTTTAATTACACTCCATAAACACGAGCCCAGTTGTTGTACTCATTTATAAAAAGTAAATCAACTCTATATTTATATTTACTCCTCACAACTAAGGTCCAGAAAGCTTCTCTATTATAGATAAGCCCCCAAGCTGCTTTTATTAAGAAAGCTTGATTTTGAGTATGCATATTATGAATACCTAGGCCCCCTCTCTTTTTATCCCTACAAATCTTTTCCTAAGAAATAGCATAAATCTTCTTTATTATTGAACCCCATGGGAATTCCCAAGACTTCTTTGCCACTTCCTCATAAATAGACATAAGGGAGTAAAGCAATTTGCATAGGATATGTAGGAATAGGCGATAAGATGGAGAAAACTAAGGTGCTTCTACCTGTAAAGGAAATATTATTTGCCTTCTATCCATTTAGCCATGACTCCACCTTATCAACCACATAATTATAAGTGTTCCTAGTCACACGCCTATGATATATGGGAACACCAAGGTATTTTTCAAGTCCAAAGTGAAAGAGACACCTAATAGCTCACTCAATTATTGCATTCTTGTGTGGTTAACATTATTGGAGAAGAAGACTTGTGTCTTGTCCTTGCTGACTTTTTTCCCTGATGCCACATAAAATTTCTCTAAGCATTTGTTAATAACCTTAACTTGGTCAAGCATTACTTCTATAAAGATAACAAGATCATCTGTAAAAACAAATGTGAAAGAGGTGGCCCATCCTTATTATGCCTGTTAGGTCTCCAGTTTCCTTTCCCAATCTCATCTTGAATTAAATGTGCCAACTTTTCAATGCAAATGACAAAAAGATAAGGAAAAATAGGATCATCTTGTTGAATTCCACAAGAGAGAGAAAACTCTTTTGTTTTGTTACCTTCCTAAGGGATTTGCATATGGGAATTATCAATTAATTCCTTAGGGATCCTGACTTCATTAAGGCAAGAAAGAACAAAATCCCGTTGAAGCCTATCATAAGCTTTCTCTAAATCAATCTTAATTGCCATAAAGCCTTTCTTTCCTTTCATAGTTTACATGGAATAAATTATCTCCCAGGCTACAATTATATTATCCAAACTAAGTCTTCTTGGTATGAAATTGCTTTGATTACATAAAATAATATACGGTAGAAATTGCTCAATTCTAGTAGCAACAATTTTGGTGATGGCTTTGTAAATAACATTACAAAGACTAATTGATCGAAAGTCATAGATTGTCTCAGGTTACTCTTTGACAGGGATAAGGACAATGTGTGTCCCATTGATATCCCTAATAACCTATAGAGAGGAGAATACTTGTTTCACCAAATTGCAAACCCAAACCCTAACATACTTCTATTGGCTTTGAAAAAACAAGGCATTAAAGCCATGAGGTCTAAAAGATTTAAGGCCTCCTGTATCAAAAAAAAGCTTTTTTGATCTCCTCATCTCGAAAAGCACATGCTAATGAATCCATCAAGAATCTATTAATGTGAGAAAATCTTGTATAAGTAACTAGATTTTGCCTCTCCTCATTCTTAGCCTCAAATAAGTTTCTAAAGAATGAAAGAGCAACATTTTACATTTCTTCTAATTCATAAATCCAACTACCATCACCGTTACATAAGCAGGAGATCTTATTTCTCTTTCTCCATGCATTAACTCTTGCGTGAAAATATGTAAAATTTCTATCACTGAGTTGGAACTAATCACACTTTGCTTTTTGTGTCTAGATAAGACTCTCTTGATTTAAAGCTCCTTCAAGCCCCAGCCATAACTTAGCTTGAAGCACTTTAGCAGCTTGTTTATTACATCCAATTTGAACTGTATTAGAAAGGCCGTCAATTCTATTTAGACGACGGCAATTCTTGCGACCAAGATGACCAAAAACTTTCTTCTTCCATATATTAGTCTCTTCAATAAATTAAGTTATATTCTTATTCCAACTCTCAGCCTCCTTCCACTTATCTTTCACAAAATGAGCAAAGTCATTATGAAGCACCTAAGAGGCCGCAAAACGAAATGACTTCTCTTGGTAGCTTATATCACCTTCATCCTCCAACAAATTTAGAAAGATTGGCACCAGAATACATGCATCTCACTAATGACCTGCCTCTTACATAATGTTAATATTAAAAATCAAAATTGAATGTGATGTAATCATGTGAAACTTTTAAAATTAAGAACTATGCTTTTTTTCCTTATGGTTTCATTTTGTTAATTTTAAAAAATTAGCCTGTGCCATGCTCCCAAATGGGGATATTATTGTTTCAAAAAAGATAAATACAATTTTTAATCTCTGTACTTTATTCACATTTTATTTTTGATCTATATAATTTTTTTAATGTTTTAGGTTTCTATATTTTTATTTTTTATTATTTTCAATCTTTCTATTAATAAAGTATAAAGATTTTAGAAGGACTAAAAACAATAAAAAATAAAAGTGTAAGAATATAAAATATTAAAAAAAATATAAGAATTAAAAGTAAAATATAAATAAAATATAGAGATTAAAAGTTATATAGAAATTAAAAGTTATGCCTCCTATCTTAAAAAATATTTTTTTAGGACGCAACAGGTCGTGGGGGACGTTTTAGCTTGAACTTGATTAATTAGATATGACATCCTGATCACGTTAAAATGGTAATTCTAGGATTGTACTCATAAAAAAGGGCATACTTACGGAAATTGAATTTCAATTTCGAAAAGAGCTGGGTCACTGACTCACTGGCTAGGAGAAGGTCCCAAGACAAGAGGACTACTGAATGTCCAGAATCCACAAACGGGAAAAAGATTGCCAGAATCAGAAATTGTAATTCGTTGATAACGTCTTTCCTTCCTCAACTATTGGTGACGGTAGTTTGCAACCATAATGCGGAGGCAAAATTCGATTTGCGTAAATTCCCTCCCAGACCCTCCTCCTACCTTTTCTGCTTGCTCTGCTATGTAATGAATGGTTGGAAATTCTGAGATGCTGTTCAACCGCACTGAACATTTAATTTTGCAGGAAATTCCAGATTCAGATCAAAGCATTTCTGGTAATTCCTTTGAAGAAGGTTCACCTTTTATGCAACAAAACTTGTGGCTAATCACCTGGTTCTCGGTTGATTTTGCAGAGGAGGAAGATTCAGACGACGTTGGCCTGGAGATTGCCGTTTCTTTGGATCCTTCTGCCAAGAACCAGGTTCATTATGCATGTTTCTACCTAATGATTTATGGTTAATTGCATTATTCTATCTGATTAGGCGGTTTTGCCGGATTTTAGAAATGTTGTTTTTATTTTTGCCATATGTGTAATCTAATCGTCATTATTAGTAGTCTTCTAATCGTCAGTTCTTTTTATTTTTCCTTCTTTCCTTTATTTTTTTAATAGGAAGAACTGCCTCTTCCAGTTCGGCTGGATTTTCTAAGAGGTATCTGAAGTATCTTTCCCTCCATGACTTCTTTCATTGGTTGTTCATAAATACTTTCTGACTGTTAACTGCCTTTGTCCATATTTCTTTCCTCTATCATCCTTTATTATTTGGTTTGCATACACTAGTTGCGTGTTAGAATTTCTATTGCCGATAGAAGCGTCTGCTTATAAACAGTCCTTCATATAGTTTCATATTAAAGCTTTTCCTAAAGTTATTTATGAATTTAGAATAGCCTTATTAACTCTCAGTACAAGACAGGTTCCAGTAGACGAAGCTTGGATGGGAATGGGAGCAGTTGTTCATTTGAGGTATGCCATACTTAGAGTTCCTATTACTTTTCTAACTGATGTTACACTCAAGTAACATTCGATATTCAGAAACCAACAGGTGTGGTGCATGAAGATGAGGTTGAATTGCCGGACTTTGAGGAGGTTGAATTAAGTCGCTTTTCAGGAGAGATAGCTGCCAACTCAAGTGACGAAGAAGTAATTTCTGAAGATGAGGTAGTTGTTGTATCAAGAAAGGAATAATTTACTTGTAATTTTAAAGTCTGTTTATTATCATAGATATGAAAGCTTTGTTTTCACATTATATGATTCTCCTGAAACAATGCCATCTTTTATGTCTCCTCTAAAGGGCAAGACTGTACTTCCGAGAATTATTATTGGCTCTAGGACCAAAGGCAGGGAGCTTTATAAATATGGTGCTTGTTCTATTAGGAGTGAGCAAGTTGGGCATGTCAATGAAGAATATGAAGCATTGCTACATGCCAAAGGAAGTGTATCTTCCTCCAAAGCAAATAGATGCAGTGATGGTACCTCCCTTTTTTCAGAAGTTTCTTGGTTAGAACTTAAACTTACTTTTTCCCTCTGGAAACTGAAGGTTGTTGATAATCTTGTTGAAATAATGTACTATCAGAGTATATTTAATCAAGAGTGGACTTCTTGTGAGCGGAAAGATCGGATTAAAGTATAGGCTATTGGTTGTGTAACAAAATGAAGTTTATAGAACTTGATATTTAGCATGGAAAAGTAACCCACGGCCCTTTAGGTTGTGTTTTGCCAGAAATAATTTGAAGCATCAGTTTCTGGGTGATTTGTTTCTTTCGTGTAAGTCCCTGTTACAATTGTAGAATGTCTAAATGAATATATAAATTCCTGCAGCTCTGATTTTCATGTTATTGCTGTGACAACCTGTGGGGGAAGTAGTATTTACAAATACTGGCTTTGGGGATGCACATATGTGGATAAGGATGCTGTAAGCCTGTAACAAATTGTCTCCATGAATTTAACTTTCTTGCTTATGTTTACCTGTTATCTTTTAAATTGTTAGAAAAGAAAATGGCACATTCGGTACTCATGGAAAACAGGTTAGACACCATCATAAGATATTCTCAACATTTGGACATCTGTAGGAACTAGGGAGTTCTTCTTTAGGATGCATGTCAAAATAAGTTGACACGGTTGTTGTGCCCTCAAGCAAAAAGTTTCTTTGAGTTAAAGGATGCAGCCTTAACTGTGCATCATAAAAGTAATATTTGACACTTAATCGATATTTTAAATGTTAACTATGCTGTATAATATCAAATTGACGACTATTGCAGGAATCTGGGGCAAAGCCGTGCCAAAATTTTCAAAGCAATCATTGTCACATGAGCATGAACCCTCTGGTGCTTCGATCTCCAATTGTGATGAAACTGTGCCATTCAAGATTCATGGATTGCCTCAAGCCACAGAAACTGTTAGTCCTGGGATTTCTGCATGTTCAATTGAGAGTTTTCTTGAAGACGACGATGAAGTGGGAAATATATCAGAGACTCAGCATACTGAACAAGAATGTCCTGCACATGGATTGAATCTGCACTCAATGGCTGATCTTGTCGACAACCTTCAAGATAAGGCTTATTCTGTGAGTGAAAATTCTAGAAAAGTTTCCGTTATTTGTTGGTGACTTATCATTTACTTATTCTTACAAGGGCCCTTGTTCCCTATATGGTCCAGAATTTGCCACATTATTGTCAAAAAAGAGGAAAGAAAGTAAAGCATTTTCCAATTAGGAGCAGATCCCTCTTGCAAGACAGAAGTAATGGTGGGGATTCCCCTGAGCCTATGGATAGTGGATCATCAAGTGGTAATGAGGTATTTCTTTATGAATCTCATGATTGCTTGTGGTAACTAATATCTTGTTAGAACTTGGAACTGTGTCTATGTATATAAATTTTTTTCTCCTCTAGGTGAGTGACCAAAATACGAAGATTGCTTTCCCAGAAAAGAAAATGCAGACCATGGCCGATCGATTTCAGCAAGCTTTAGGGGCTTCCCGTGTGACTGATGAAGGGACTTGTGTTGCAGCACTCAAATCATTTGGGTATCTAACGAGTAGTATCTTCCTTGTAATTGCTCAAAATAAAAAAAAATGATTTTAAGATAATTCTTAGATTGAGTGTATTATTTGTCTGCCTATTTGTGCAGAGCTGGAATATTTGGAAACTTGCAGCGTGTCATGCAGAGAGAAAAAGAAAGGGATGCTGACTTTTTGAAAAGGTCACAAGCTGGAGCTAGCCAGCATGGTAAAACTTTTGCTACTAGTACTTTGTATCCTTTTCATTGCAGTTGAAATAAAATACCACTTTAGACTTCTTACGCCACAGAGCTGGCATTTATTATTATTATATTTTACTGTTATTTGAGTTGGGGGATACATTAAGTAATTCATACAGCTAATACGATAAGTTATTGGAGGCATATGCAATATGCTTACAAGCGTGGCTTATGGCTCTCTCATATGTCATATCTCTCCAGGTGTGCTTGGCGGTGTTGATGTAAAAATCATTTCAAGATACTTGGATGGAAAGCTGATTGTATGTTGTTGCTTATTTTGCAAATACACAGAGGTCAAGTATCAACGTTTTGTAGGTTACTTGGAGGTTCAATGATGGTCTTCTGTAAATGCAGCGTTTGGTGTTTATTCCAGTCAATTTTATATTTAACTTGTCCTTCTGCATGTGTAAGATGATCATTTTGCTAGGGATGAACGATCACCTCCATTTTATATATAATCTCTTTTTGCTTGAAAATTGATGGCGCATGGATGTTCTTGCAGGAGTTTTTGTTGCCGGGTAACTCCGAAAGAATGATGTGTGAAGGCCACGAAGGGACGGTCATCTTTAATCCAAGGGTTAGTGATGTTGACCTCGAAGTTGGAAACATGATCCGTATTCACCCGCCGTGGTAATTTTTATGCAGAGTTCATTGAATTAAATTTAGCTGGATTTAAATATATACCTTGGATAACATATTTTTCTGCACTGGAGCTGTAGTATTTGTTTTTGTCGCTTGGTCATTTTTTTTTTTGGACTGCAAACTACAAAACAGGGCCTTCGGTCTGCAGGGTCTCTCTCTTAACCTCTTTAATTCTGTTTCTCGGACAGGAAACAAGTTCCAGTGGGAAATGATAATATCATGTTGTGCACATATTTCTCTGAGATTCCCTGCCCGGATTGATTCCCTCGAGATATCAACGAATTCAATCACGTGGTTCGTTTGATAATTAACGTGCTTTGGTCTATATCAATACAACTAACAGCCATTTTTCATTTTTTTTTTGTTTTGGTTTTGTTAATATTGTATAGGGGTATTCATCGTCTGAAAGCATGGTTTAGGAAGTATTTAGATCTGCAGTGTTGTGTACCAGCAATTCCAATGCCATAACATACGTTTTGTATGATTCATATTTCATAAATTCTGATCCGAATTTGAGAAGTTCAAGCTTTTGGTTGTAGGAAAAATAGAAGTTCGTATTTAAGTTTGCTTAAAGCTGTAAACTATTAAGCGAGGATTACATGTTTAATGTCAACGGCGGTGAATTGATAAGAAAATTGTATTTAAAATCTAGCACTGTGAAATAAATATTATTGAACTTTAAGTAGCGGAGTGGACGTGTTTATTTTTTAGGATTTGGAAATTGATTAAAATGCTTTTTAATGGCTGATAAGCTGGAAAGAAAAAATACAAGGAAAATAAATGAAAGATCGACAACCGAGTAGTCCTAGGGGTACTGACAGTGGACCTCTCGCCGGAGTGCCAGCATCCTGTTCAGATTTCTAGGAATAACGCTCTTTCAGATCATCGTCTGAATCTCCTTCAATAGCTCATCTTGCTGGTGGCCATTTCTTTTCATTTTTAGTATGAAACTTCACTCAACACAACACAAACCAAGAAAAAACAACCAACCCAAAGACCACCCCTAATCAATTAATGGCTAGCAAATTGAACGAGTTAAAATCGTTAGAGAGATTATGGGCTAATTTAATAAGATAATTAGCCATACTGCTGCCTTCTTTATATAGAAAACTAAAATTAACAACCCACTTTCCACATAAGATTTGTCTTGTAGATTTAGTGATACTTACAAAAGAATAGAATTGTGATTGTTCCTTGCAATCATTGAGATGGCGTGCGCCTAATTACAAAAAATTTTCACAATCCTATTAACATAATTCAAGGCTCTTGAAAATATAAAAATTTTAGAAATAGCACGTGGAACTAGGCCTTATTTTTGGTTGAAACCTTGTGATCAAGCCCCATTAGTATCTCTCAAAATACAACCACGTGCACCTTGACTATCTACAAGAGTAGAGCAGTCGGTTTCTAATCTAACCCCAACAGAGCTCCTTTGTTGCTGTAGACGATGGCCTTGACGACTAGAATAAGGCTTGCAGGCACCTCATTTTCGATGAAGGATATAACTTGTGAGAAATCACTTTTTTTTTTTCTTTTATAATTTACGAGTGCCCCCTAATAGAAATATTGAGACATGATCGGATATTAAAGAATATCTCTTTCATCCAAATTTGCAGGTTTTGAGAGATTGGTTTTAGTGTGTATCTGTTTTTTAATTTGTCAAAAGTCTGTTTGTGTCCATTTGGCAAAAATTAATTTAATAAAAATCAATTTTTATAATGAAATTTGTGTTTAAATACATCTTTTCAAAAGTTAGTTTGATAAATTAAAAATTATTTGGATTATAATAGTAAGATGTGCTTTTAAATGCACAATCATAAAAAAGACATTAATTTGTGATGATTTGTAATTTTTATTATACAGATATAATATATTTGAAATATTTAAAAAATATGATAAAGATTTTAATGACATCAAATTTGATCTATAATGTTAAAAACTTAATCTCTAATTATTTATACTTTTTAATTTGTAATTTTAAAAAATATGATAAATATTTGTAACTTTTATTATACATTAATGTTAAAAATTAACATGATTAATTATTCAATTTATAATGTTAAAACTTAATATCTAATTACTATTATTTAAATGATAATTATATTTTTAATGAATTAATTATTTTTTCAATAAAAGAATAATAGATTAAACTTGGAGTAGTATATTTAAATAATATCTCACTTTTTAAAAGCTTTATCATTTTAAGTTGGTCAAAAACACATTTAACCATATTTGAAAATAATTTTTTAAATAGACTTCTTAAAAAAGATAGGCAACCAAACAATATTTAGATTCAAAATTCATTTCAAAATTTTTTTTGGGAAACTAAATTAAAAACCAAATTACTCGACTCCTATCACTTTTGAAGGTTATTTTGGGCACCCTAGCATGCTAAAAGTAAGAAGATCTAATGTCATTTTCTTTCGCATTTTCTTAAATTACTTTTGAAATTAATTTTTTAAAAAGTCTCCTTCTAATAAAGTGATTGAACATCTTGAAATTTAATGAGCTTGTTTTCCCATTCTACTTATAACAATCACTTTTGAAATAAAAATTTTTCTCCATCCATCTTCAGTCTCTCAATAACAGTTTTCATTATGCCGATTCTTAATCTATACAAGAAGAAAACAATAATAAAAAGTGAGTAAAATATAAATTTTTCAATGACAATAAACATAAGAGATACTTGATTTTTAAGCCCACGGACGCAATACCCCCGACTCAGCTTTGACTCTCGAGTGCATCTCCAAATTTTAATTTCATCTAAAGCCTGGTTGGGAGCCTCAAATCCATATAATAAAAAGATTGAAGAATTAAAAGAAATATTATACTAGGCAGATCTCAAATTTTGACTTACACTTAGAGGTAGAAAATGAGCGCGTTTGGCCCATATGGGCTCGACCTTTAAGCTCAATTTTTAAAAAATTTATTTAATTTTTAAAATCTAATTGTTATTCAAAGAGCTTAGGATCGGACCCACAAGTCCTTCTGTTATTCTTTTATTTTAAAAAAAATTAAAAATTTTAATCATAACATTTCATATATTTTTAAAATATAATTTATAATATTAAAAAATTAAAATTAAATAATAAAAAATTAAATCTTAAAGTATAAACATATATTTTAAAGTTTAAATTTAATTTAAAAATAAAAATATTTAATTTTTTTAGATTTAAAATGAAAAAAGGCCTACAGAGTTCGAGTCTATTTTTTCAGGGTTCATTAGGGCTGAGCTTCATAGCCTGATTTTTTTAAAAAATAATTTTTTTAAACTCAAACTCTTATTAAAATGAACTTAAATTAGTGACATGCCAAACTTAATCCTTATTTTTTACTCTTCTTATACTGAAGCTCGTGCAGAAGTCCTGTTATTTTGGGTCTCGTCTAAAGCCCAAATGGTAAAATGGGCTCCGTAACAGTCCATTGACTAACTTAGTGAGGCGAGTATCCCCGTAACCTCCGTTGATCTCGTTGTCATACGGTGATCACCTTTGTTTTAGTTTGTCATGAGCTACATGACCTGTGAATGAATCTATGACGAAGAACTAATCTTTTCGCTTATATGCCTATTCCTTCTTGATCTTCGATTCCTTACTCCTTAGCCGTATCAAACATGGCTACCGTCTCTGCCAGGTCTTCACCTCCATGGACTAGCCCTAACCCTAATTCTGATCTTAACCCTGAATTTACCGCTGACCAATCACAAACCCTCGATTTGGATTCCATAATACAACGCCAATCAATCCTACCTCACCAAGTCTCCTCTCAGCGAAGTCCCCCTAGTAGTCCACCACAGCATGCGCCGACGACCCCTACTCTGCTTCAACTCTCTTTCAACCAAGACCAAGCTTGCTTCGCCGCCGCCACAGACAACGGGTTCCGTATCTACAATTGCGATCCATTCCGGGAGCTCTTCCGCAGAGAGTTTGACGGGGGCAATGGCAGTACTGGGGGGATTGGTCATGTGGAAATGCTCTTCCGCTATAATATGTTGGCACTGGTTGGAGGTGGCACCCACCCTCAATACCCTCCGAGCAAGGTGATGATCTGGGATGATCATCAAGGCAGGTGCATTGGTGAGCTTTCGTTCCGATCAGCTGTTCGTGGTGTCCGGCTTCGACGAGACCGAATAATTGTAGTTGTGGAGCAGAAGATTTTCGTGTACAATTTCGCCGACTTTAAGTTACTTCATCAAATTGAGACCGTTGCAAACCCAAAGGGGCTCTGTGCAGTTTCCCAATTGGCTGATTCTATGGTGTTGGCGTGTCCTGGTTTGCACAAGGGTCAGATTCGAGTCGAGCATTATGCACAGAAGAAAACCAGATTCATTTCTGCTCATGATTCAAGAATAGCTTGTTTCGCTCTTACACTAGATGGGCAGTTACTCGCCACCGCCAGCACCAAGGGTACTTTAATTCGAATTTTTGATACAGCCAATGGCACGCTTCTTCAAGAAGTAGGTGAAATCTCAGAAGTTAGCCCCCCCCCCCCCCAATTTTTTTCCGGCTCTTCAACAATCACTATAAATTCTTTAGATTGGATGTTGATTGGGTTTAGTTTTGCAAGCATGCGCGCCCGCGCGTATTCGCGTAAAATGCTGGAGATCAAACCCATTGTGCTTTTAATTTAGACTATTAGGTCTCAACCGGTTTTTAGGATGTGATACGAGAATTGATTGGGTCGTTTCAATTTTCGGTGTGGGTTGGATTGATTTGCTTTAAATCCAACCAAACTGAATCAACACGCCCCCCCCCCCCACCCCTAAAAGAAAAAAAACACTGAATCAACATGATAAATATATTCTTCGCACAATTTCGGACTAATCTGGCTTTTACTGGGTTTCGGGTTTCCTTAATTTTTTAATTTGCATTTTTAAGGCCTAATGGAATAATTTTGTTTGGTCCAGTGATATACTTTCAGCCTTCAACTCTTTCCCTGAGGCTCAAACCTTTTCTCTTTAATGTAATGTTGATTCTTGAACATTGTATTTCGAAAATCGGAAAAAATACTTCAAAGTTTTTAATTTCAACTTCGATTACTTTCTGTATTATTTTGATGATTTCATGAATAGTTATCTTATTCTTAAAGGGGGCAGAATTTCAAATTTAATTTGTTGACAATTGCAAAAATAATTCTTTCTTCACTGAAAATTCAATTCAGATGAATCAAACCAACCTAAACTGAACCAAATTGTGAGAAAACTGAACCTATAAACACCCTAGTGCTATTGAATTGAATTGAGTGTTTTCATGATGACTTTAATGCTGAGCAGGGGTAGGTTCATAATGTCTTGATTGTTCTCATTTGGCATGAAGTATATAAGATAATATAGATGCTGCTATGTGCTTGATTGGGTCATAAATTAAAAAGAAAAAAGGAACCCTGACGTGAGTTGCTTTTGGTGTAGGATTTATTTAGTCTCAACTGGGTTCTAAGTGCATTTTTGAGCGGTAATTTACATGATTTGGTTTGATGTTGATTTAATAATCGAGTCAATGGTTTTTTCATGTAACATAATGTTATTCAGACTTTACTAGGAGCATTTCAACCTTTTTGGTATTGGGTAAATTTATTGGATATTAACTTCAGGTAAGAAGGGGTGCAAATGTGGCCGAGGTCTATAGTCTGGCATTCTCTTCTACCGCTCAGTGGCTAGCAGTCTCGAGTGATAAGGGTACTGTCCATGTTTTCAGCCTTAAGGCTAACTCCAGTTCTCCTCAGCATGAAAAATCAAAGATGCCAACTGATTCTCATGCTGCCAGTATACCATCTAGCTCACCCCTTGCATTAGTCAAATTTAAAGGTAAAGAATGTCATTCATTTATTTCTGTTTGCTGTGATCGTGTATGTACATGTAAGTTTATTAATAACAGAGGTGCATTATTCAATATTTTTAAATTATGACTATACCTTTTACTTCTATTCGCTGTGCCTGTGGTGGAGTTTTAATGTTGAAGGACTGATAAATGATCAGACACCTGAATTTATAGTTAACTGTTAAAATGCGTGGATATCATAGTTATGGGAATTGCCTGATACACTCTTTGGAACACATGATATGACTCAGTTAGTCAATTTGCTGAGCTACAATACAAATGGTGCATGGATGTACCTGAATAGTCAGAGTCATGTGAGTTGAGCCAACATTGCTAGTTTGCTGCATTATGTTGATCAAGAATGCATTATTTATCAATAAGTTTTGCTTGTACATGTTCTAAAATAGATTTTGGCCCCCACGCCATATTTTATTTTCAATTTGGCCCCTCATTCATTAGCTTCTAGATCCATCCTTGGCTGTTGGGATGTCAACTTTCCATGGGGTGTCAATTGATGTAGACTTGATAGTATGGGATATCAAATCTCCCATTGTATGGGATGTTCAATAGGGTATTTAAGTAGATTGGTTCTCCAACCTCAATTGCTAGCTTTTGGAGCATCGCTAGTTGTACAATTGAGTATGATTCACCAGTAAAAAATTACTCATCATGTATATATATATATATATATATAAAAGAACTCCTGACTCACAATTTGAGAACTTTGGTTGTCATTGAGCTAACTTTGTTGGAGATTCTGCGAAATTTTAGATTTTGGAGAGAAGCACCTTTTCAAGAATTGATTTTTGAAATAATCAGTTCAATGTTATTTTGTTATATGAACCGGAGTAAATTGATTTTGTCTGGGTATTGTTTGATAAAATAACATTTTGTTGTCAAATAATGAAATAATCATCAATATGTCCATTGAACAGGAAGCTACACTGTTTACAAACTATGAACAATATGGCTCATCTCGAGCTCTATAGAAAGGCACAGGGATAGCTAGTTAGACATTGTAGGTATATAGTTGACAGAGATGTTGCATTGGAGTAGCAACCTTTTGCCGCTTCTCCATTCTGGAGGAGTAGTGGTTTAGGGGACTCTGAATTCTGTGCAAAAGCAGTTCTGATGTTATATACCTAAATTCAATTCATTTTTTATTCTTTAAAATGGATGCTCACTCAGAAAGCATTTCTGGAGGTCTCCAATGAAAGATCTAAATATACACTAGGGGTGTGTTCTTCAGTCACATTGACTTTAACCAAGGAATACAATTTGAATGATCAATAATGGTGACCGGTTGTAATATTGGCAGCAGAAGATTCCAAATGGAATGAAATGACGAAATCGATGAATCTTTACTGGCTCTGAGATTATATACTGTTGCGTTCAAGATAGAACTTTATCCGACTTCTGACCTCAATCTAACGCATCATGTTTAGCCCAAGTGAAACAAGAATGAACCTTATGTCTGTTCCTCAGCATGTGAATGTGCACTCTATCCTTGTCAGAGATGAGAGCAAAGAGGTCAAAAAAGTTCCATTGAAATATTTATTGTTGAGATTGTTGCTTAAGTTGTCATGGCTTTTTTGCATGTGCCTCAATATATTTTGTGTTTTGAGTTTGACAGCAGCATATAGCTCCTAGGCGCTTTTTTTTTTAATAAATAAACAAATTTCTCCTCAATTTATCAATTGTTTATTCCAGACAGAACGTTGTTTAAATATCATTGGAGAATTGTGGTGCCCATTTACTGCATTATACGCTTATACTGCTTGATATTTGTTATTTGGATTAGGTGTGAAGAGAATGATCATTTGTTTCTTTTTCCCCGATAAACTCTGTTAATCTGCACCTTGCAGGAGTGTTACCTAAGTATTTCAATTCAGAGTGGTCACTTGCTCAGTTTCGCTTACGTGAGGGCACTCGCTACACTGTCGCATTTGGTCAGCAAAAGAATACAGTCATAATTCTTGGCATGGATGGGAGGTAAGATTCGATAAAAAATTTTAAATGCAATCTTATGCAGACCGCTTGCCAGTTTGCTGTTATCTTGAATGGTATAGGTTTTGTGGTTAATATTGTTATGTACTCTACATTTGTGAATTGGAGTTTCAAACTTTGGTAATATATATTTGAAGGTGGTTATCCTTTTTCTCATTTTAATTTAAACTGAACCTTCAGCACCTCCAAAGAAATTTCCTTCTTTTATCCAGGAGTTTTTTTCTAGGTTACTCCATATTTCAGATTGTTGAGATTTGAGAGGACTTTTATGTTTGTGTTGATGTTAATTATGTACTGTTAATGGTTCTATGCACAGCTTCTACCGGTGTCAGTTTGACCCAGTGCATGGTGGTGAGATGAATAAACTGGAATATCAGAACTTCTTAAAGCCAGAGACAGCCTCGTGATAAAAAACATGGAGCTTTGAGTGAAGGCTACCTATGAGTTAGGGTTGAATCCTCGAATCTTGTAACTTCCTTTGTAAATACCGTGACTTTATAAAACCAGAGATAGCCTGGAGGATATTAATTTTTCACATTTCGGCCTTTGAAGTTAGGTAGGGTTAGTTCTGCTACAAATGTAAATAGCTACAATATAATGCTTGAAGTAGCATTTAGGGTTGGCTTATGAATTAGGGCTGGTCTCTTTCCGTTGTAATTACAGCTTAATTAATAATTCGTTATTTTACTGAGTAAATATTCAATATTGTGGATAAGGCAATGCAATGTCTTTGTCAGTTTATGAAGTTTTTTTTTTTTAAAAAAAATAAGAAAAAGTAAGGAGTTTATGAAGTTTGATTCATGATGGGAACCACTTTTAAGAGGTGAAAAATGTAAATCATCGATCACGTTATTAATGCTTAATATCCATGTGGCTGAAGTCTTGGCGTTTAGTATGTTAAGGCACAAGTCAAGGATCAAAGTCAATCATTCATGGGTGGTTAAATTCTTTTGTTTCCTTATTTTTCCGATTAGTGTATTGGGGGTTAGTTCAGTGTTGTATTACCTGTTAGTTGTCATCCTTTGCCCAAACCACAGCTGAATTTATTGTCTGAAAGTTGCGAGAGAGGAATCTCTTGATTATGCAGCCGTGTGATTTGTTTTCGGAAAATTATGTTCTGAAAACTGTGTTTGACTGGATCTTTTCATTATTTATTTATTGGAAAGCTTATATTTTATACTCTTTTCCTGTTATAGTATAAGATATTTTTAAAAAATTTTACTTATAAAGTATTAAATATTTTTTATATATTTATTTTTTTTAACTATGTCCTTACTTTATTTATTTTTTTAAAAAAATTTATGAATTAAAATTTTAATTATTATTATCAAAATCCTTATATGAAATATTTAATGAGGCTATAAAAAAAAAGATGTGGATATTGTTCAAGAATTTAAAGTTTCACTAAACATTACTCATAAAGTGTTAGTTAATTAATTATAATTTATAAGTTTATTAATTATAATTTATATTGTGGTTTGGAGAGAGTGATGCGTTCAATTTGACCAGCTTTAAAATTACTATTTATTTTTTCAATGATGAAATTAAAGAATGGCAATGTTCTGAAATAATCAGGACAGAGTCTACTGTCGCTATAACAAGTTGTCCATTTTCAAATGCATGCACATCTGGCCATGAACCAGGCCACACCTTCTGCAACGATCTCATTATCTCATGCACCACATACTCAGTCCGAACCTCATTAAATTTTCCCTCCCCATTCTTGGAAAACACAATTACAGATTAATGTTAATTGATAATTAATGTTTTAGTCATTCAATAACAAGACGACTGTAATTATGTTGAGGTGAATAAGATTACTTCTTTTATTAATAAAAGCATTTAAAACATCCTTGAAATATGAAAATGACTTTTATTAACTATTTAACCTCCTACGAATGCACACAATAGTAGTCAAATCGTAGTGTTTATTTAAAGAGCGCCAGAGTTATTTCTGGGAAAGTATTAAATTGATTTTACAAAAATTTAGATTATTTAATAATTTCTTTGATGTTTCTGAGAAATTTTTTTGCTGACATTTCTCATTCTGATCTCATGCAACGGGGGAAGTAGTATGGTGGGCAGAAATGCAAGGGTGGCGAGAATAAGTTTGAAGTGGGGCCCATATCTGACAAAACAGGGTCAAAATTTCTTTAAGAATTGGTTACTTGCCTTGATTTCAGGCAAAAGGTAAAATACAATTTTGTCGTCTTATGTCTAACCGACAAATTCTAGGTCCTCCCTGGCAATGGCGACAGAGTAAAATGCAGTTTTACGTTGATTAACCCAAAGGCGAACCAAGGCCACTAGCATCAATGTTGGTTCACTTCCCTTTATAAGAGCACCTTCCTCTATCTCTTTCTCTCCCAATTCAGCCCTGGTACAGTAATACACCATCTCTCATCTTTCTGCTCTCCGTTAAAAAGAATATGGGGATCAAGCTCCATGGTCTGTCAATGTCCACTAATACCAGCCGAGTCATGGTGTGTCTCCATGAGAAAGACGTCGACTTTGAGCTCATTCCCGTCAACGTCTTCGCCGGAGAGCACAAGCTCCCTCCTTTTCTCTCCAAGAACGTACGTATTTATATAATATAACCACTTCGTATGCACAATCACTCGTCCTTTCTTTTTCACTGTACGTACATGCTTACTTTAATTGAATGCTCATTTTTTCTGAGATAAATATTTTCAATTCTGGCAGCCCTTTGGTCTGATCCCAGCACTTGAAGACGACGATCTCACTCTCTTCGGTATGCTATATTCCCTTCCTTTTTATGCCTGCATGTGTATCTGGTGCAAATGTTTCAGATTGATCATGAAAAATAATATCTATCGGCACGTGTCTCTGGTACAACACGCAGAATCTAGAGCTATAACAGCATACCTGGCCGAGAAATACAAAGAGACAGGACCTGATCTGATAAGGAAGAGTGACCCAAAAGAAGCGGCTTTGGTTAGGATGTGGGCAGAGGTAGAGTCCCAGTGCTACGACCCAGCAATCTCACCAATCATATTCGAGTATCTGGTATCTCCTTTCCAAGGCAAAGAACCCAACCAATCAGTAATCGAGGCCAGCATGGAGAAGGTAAAGAACGTACTGGACGTGTACGAGGCGAGACTGAGCAGCACGGAGTACCTCGCAGGGGATTTCTTCAGCCTCGCAGATCTTAACCACATAACCAACACTCACTATTTCATGAAGACGCCTTGTGCTTCCATGATCAGCGATCGTCCACATGTGAAGGCCTGGTGGGAGGATATCTCTTCCAGGCCTTCTTTCCAGAAGCTCGTTGGTGGTTTGACTTTTGGTCAGAATTGAGGCCTCTTGAATGGGCTTCCATTATTTGTTTGGTTATCTCTACTTGATTGATTCAATTTCTTGAAACTTTGAGAGATATTTTCTCCTTGCCTTAACTTGGCACTACAGTTTTGCGATTGCTTTACCATATCAAGAGATCCCCAAATTATATTTACAAATGAACTTCGGACCTCGCATTTTACGAATTCATAGGCCCAGCCCACTTCGCGTCCCTTAGATTGATGAGTTATAATTTTGGCCAACACGACTGTCAGAACATCTATAATTTTGGCCCAAAATTACAGAACTTGATGCATGGACAATAGTAGCTTTTAAATCATCATGTCAGACATGAAAATCTGAAATGGAGGTTACCAATTCAAACCCAATTAATTGATTTTTTTTGGCCGTACGTGCTCAACACAAGAGGAATAAGACTGATTATATTCTTCTTAATTACTAACCAGAAAAAAGGTCGTCTATAAAGAAACAATAACGCGTTGATATTAACTAGTTTATAAAATGACTCCAATTTATATGTCAAAAAGTTTGAAGTATTTATCAATTTTCGAAGACAAAAGTTTTGTCATCACGAATTCAATAATTCAAGCACCAAAAAATTACATATTGTTAAATAGTGGTAAGGATTAAGAGTCAGCGAGCCCTTTGAAATGCAGAGCGAGGAAGGATACCACAGTGCGATCATAATGCAATAACTTCAATGGAGAGTCAGATTTTCACAAGTGAGGCTCATTAATGTGTTTAGTTCTGTCCAATTACACGGACCATACCACTGGAGAGAGTTTCTTCCACAACACATGCATGCATAGAAGGTCATATAAGCTTTGGCTTGTGCATCTACATGTCACTGCGTGTGTGTTGCTGATATGTATCAAAACCACACCAGCTTGGTCTGAGGCCTGTGTCTTCTAGCTTCTTTGAATAATTCATAAAGGACCAACCCCACATTACAATTAATCTTCAAGCTTGTACTCCTGTTTCTCTTTTCCTTTCCCAGATCGAACTGTAACCCGTATCAATAAATGCTCTTTCTGAGATGATGTATCTACCAAGTGTACCCACAGTTAACAAATCAGATTCCCTTCGTACTGATCCAATCTTACAACTAAGCCGTTATTAATACTTAATTACAGATTTGTTGGTAAAGTAGTTATGCCATTATTACCTGGATATCATCATCACATGAGCTACACCGTAGTAACTGAGACACAGTTGGAGCGAGGTTTATTTGTATCAGACCTTACCAATAGTGCGTTATTAATGACTCTGTCATTTGCCTTCTTTACCAATCCATCATCATATATGACGAAATGTTCTTGTGTCACATATTAATTTGTTATCTTTGTTTAGAGGTGTACTGTGTAAGTATCATTTTCAGTTTTTACCTGCTTGAAAATTTGATGCTCTCTGATTGCTCAGACTTCAGACCCTGATAAAACTCAGCCAGACATGTGGGTTGAAAATCATGGAAAGCTCATGTCACCACAGCTTTATTGTGATTTCTACAATTCATATTCTATCAATTTGATCCAGACCTCGTTGAATGTTTGAAGCTTTGTAGTCTATTAAGTCAAGCATTAAGGGTTATGTTTAGCCAGCAAATATCACCCTTGGGCAGACTTTTTGCCTATTTTATAATTTTGATAGCGATAACCATTATCTTTAGCTTTGTTTCTGTGGGAAAGAATATGAGACATGAAAGCCGATAAGACATATACAATTGTTGTCACCGGTCACTTTCCTACTTAAAGGCTGTCAAAATAGTTAGCTTATTTCAAGTGGGAGGTTAACGAGTGTCCATTGTATAGTCCCATACTAAATTCACATCGATTCTTTTGGCTGATGTTCGATATTGCATGTGTACAAACCATTTGCCAAAAGACTGCATATTGTATCAAGTTCTATCTCTAGCAAATGATAGTTCCATGTCTAGTGACGCTTCAATGTTATCTTCACTTGTAATCTATCGTCATAAGCATCTCAAACTTTCACTCTTCTCTTTCTACAAGAGATATACAACTGGCATGCATAAACCTACCAGCTTGCTTCGGATCATGGTTTAGTTTGCAGTAGGAGGTATTTAAAATTCAACTGCTTTATTTTTTTCCATGAATCTAGATAGCAGATTGTATTGTTCATTCTTTTTATACTCAGGCTTTCCTTCGAAAAGAGACTCTGGCATGATCTGATTTTCTTTACATGAGAAAGACGTGCAACTCTGGGACCTACATGCTTTACCATTGAAGCATGTAGAAGCTAAAAAAAAATATTGAACCCTTTGTGCTGTTTGGTGATACTGGGATAAGTATAAAGCGTCAGATCGGTACCATGTGGGCATCTGTCTCGTTAAATATTGTAATTACTTTATGTAAACTAAGTTTTATAACTAAAGCTAATTGTTGCAAGAACCAACCAGAGACCACCTTTTTGAAGTGTAGAATGGATGAGTTTCCATTGGAGTTAGGTGGGGACTAGGATAGATTGACCAAGTGAGTTTCTGCATTCAGTTGAAACTAAACAGTTGGGACCTGTTAAGATGGTAAATGGGAATTGGAAAAAGAAGTCTTCAAGGCAATTAGGAGGAGCCATCAATAAGTTTTGAAAATTATGGACAGTATAAAGCTGCTTTTATTAGTACTGTGGGTAGTGGCAATTATGCTGCTGCAATACAAACAACCCTAACTCACCAGCCTAGTACCACGGTAAAGCTAAATTCTGCTCATCATATGAACAACATGTACAATTTGATCATTGGCTTTTTGAATACTCCTCTGTCTCTGATTATGGAGTATTGCACCTCATCTCCCTCAATGATTAATATATATATATATATATATCATCGTCAATTATATTTGATCTATCCTTCTTGTAATCGTCAATTATATTTGATCTATCCTTCTTGCTCATCTCCATTTCACCAAATCCACTTGGGCTAATTATTGACCTGGTTTAGGTAAAGTGTGATGTTAATTAGGGAGGATGAGGTTAATTAGATGAACCTTCTAGCCAGTCCATGGTTGATGGTCAGGGGTCCCCACGGAGGACCAATGTATCAGAGGCAAAATTGAGTGGAGTGGAACCAAAAGTGATGAGGCTCTTAAAACCGTCTGATCTGACAGATTGAGCTGCACCACATGCTACAAAAGTTTATGCAAAGGACTTTCCAGACCCCACCTCTGTTTTTCACTAAAAATCGAAAAGTGAAAGCCAAAGTAACACTTATCTTAAACTTCTCTCTCCTTAAAAAAAAAAAAAGAGTCGTTTTTTTCCTAGTGGGAATTACGAATTTTTGGAACAAGAAAATAATTAGAATGGTCTGTGGTTGAAAAAATACAAGCAGCAGCAGCCCTCATCTTGGGGTGTTTCTTACCCCACAGGCCACAGGAGTTGGATTGCTAATCAAACCTCTGAAGAAGACTCCTAATAATCCCTCAATGGTGTCATCATAAGCACGGTGGTCGTTTGTCTGTTAGTAGGATACTAGGATGCTATGATGACGTGGCATCCACGTCAAGTGCTGTTGCCTCGATAGTCAAGTGCTTCTCTTTTTCTTATAAGTCCTCTCCTTCACTCCATCTTTCTTGCCACCAACACACACACTCAAGTTTTCCATTGATCCCTTGCTTCCCATTCCTGTATGGCAGCCAAACCAGTTGAAGATGCACGTCCCGCTGCAGAAACCTTGAAGTACCAGGTACACACACACAAACATACATCCTGTTCACTCAAATCTTTATTGCATTCATATGAATATCTCTCTGTAATCGCCGTGGTTGATAACTTCTCCTTGCTTCTTTATGCAGACGTGGGTATTGAAAGTCTTGATCCACTGCGAAGGCTGCAAGAAGAAAGTCAAGAAAGTTCTTCAGGGAATCGATGGTAACTATCTATCTACGTATTTCTTCAATCTATGAAATGTCTCTGTGTTTCCTTAACAATTCAATTAATTAGCATATGTCCACATATGTGTTTCATCTCAGGGGTTTATACAACGGAAATTGATTCTCAGCAGCACAAGGTGAGAGTGACAGGGAACGTGGAGGCTGAGACTCTCATCAAGAAGCTCCTGAGATCAGGAAAGCTAGCAGAGCTTTTGCCTCAAGAAAAGGTCGACAAGAAAGACAACAAGAAGTCTGCAAAATCCAAAGGTGGTGGTGGTGGTAAAGAGAAAGAGTCATCAGACCACAAAAATATTGAACCCTCTGTGAAGGAAGATGACCAAAAGGGTCCAGGGAGTGATAACAACGGTGAAGGTGAGAAGGAGGCTGGCGGTCAAAAGAAGAAAAAGAACAAGAAGAACAAGGGGCAGGATGGTCCTGTTTCTCCCAATAATAACGATAATGAGGGTTCTGGCGAAGAAAGCACAAAACCTGAAGCATTACCAGTCACCGCCATGGCTTCCTTGAACCCTCCTAGACCCCCACTTCAGCAACCCTACCCGTACGCACCACCACAAGAGTACTATTCACCTCCACCACCTCAACCATATCAATATGGGTTAAGCTATAGCACAGCCTATCCCATCTCTGGTTCTTCCTATTATGCCCCTGGTTTCATGCATTCTAATTATAACATTCCCTACTCTCGCCTGCCGCCGCCGCCGGACTCCTTCAGCCACCGTCATGTCGACCATGATGAGTACGGAGCTGTATGCTCCGTCATGTAGTATTAATGTTATATCACTGAGGGCAAGAGTGGGGTTTACATTATATGTTGTGTTATGTGCTGTGACCTGTGAGTAATACTGCTTCGTTGAAAAGAGTGCAGACCAAAATCACAACTTACAAGAGGATATTTTGCAGGGTATGGGGTTTCTTTAATCAATGCCTTGTCTTACATTATTCAGCTTGACAGCTTTGGGGTTTGCTTGACAAAGGCCAATGCTTATCGTATTGCCCAGTGATCCCATTCTAGCACCTGAGCCTCTCTGAATCTTATGTGTAAAATAGATATCTATTGTACTGAAATTTTTCTTCTTTAGCAGATGGTAAGTGCTCAATTTTCATGCACCCTGATCCTGGAAGTCTGCCAGACGCTAGTGCTTGTTTTTCATTTATATTTTCACTAACTTTCATTTGCTCTTATCACTTGTACAAAGACTGGTTTAAGAATATGCATCAATTGAACATGCAGATCATAGCTTGGAACCAACTGATCAGAACTTTACAAAGCTTGAGAGATGTTTTCTGTCAGGGTCGCGTTTATCAAATGCCATGTTGTTGTTATATTCTCGCAGGATACGCTGCCAAAAAAAGATTTCCCCACCATATTTTGCAAGTTCTCCGTTCAAGCCTCTCCTTTTTTGACCTTTTCAGCTTAGTTTCTAGCTTGGAAGTGGAAGTCCCATTGAATGATGATTCAAAGAAGGTTATTTAGGTCAAAGAATGATTAATTACAATAGTTAATTATATTTTAAAAAGTTGTCTTTCACATACGCTTTAGATGGGAAAGATGAAATATATGATATGATTTATTGGGTCCCTCTTGCCTCGCTATGATTTATTTGGAATCTAGAAAAGTCCCACTTTGTTCTTTGTCTAGTCCCCACAAATGATTTTTCACTTTAATTTCTTTAGGAGCCACACAAATGAGCTTAGGATGCCGGATACACTTTGAAAAATAGTTTAACAACAAAAATTATATCTTAATTTGAATAAAATTAACATGATGTGGAGTATTTTTTGTCAACCTTAAATCTCAATTAGCATTTTTTTAATAATTAATATTAGAACATTTAATTATTTTATGAATGAAATTGTTACAACAAATAGTTTAAAATACTATCTAGGTGTTCATCAAAGAATAATTTAGAAGTAAAAATGCATTTAACCCTTTATTTATATATTTATTTTTTATTTCAATATCAAATCAAATAGCATATTAAATTATTGAAATAATTTCAATGTGGACTCGCATTGATCAATTAATTCATTAATTCTCAGCCTAAACTTATTAATATTATTAAGTAATTATACTTGATAGTTGACTCTTCATTTATTAAATTCATTGAGTATGAATTTATGAAACACTGATATTTCAAATCACCTCAGTATCTGTATCAATATTGTGTCCAATATCCATACTCACCGATATTTTTTTAATACATGCCCATAGAGTATTAAAATATTTATTTTTTATTTTAAAAAATTTTAATTTTTAATACGTATTCGATACTTTTAAATTACAAGTTGATATTTTAAAGCTAGTAATTCAAGGCTATTTTTTAGAAATTAAATTTTATTAAATATTTTGATATTAATTTTTTGTTTCTAATATATTTATGTGATTTTATTTTAAAGTCAAAAATTAAAATTTATTTAAAAAATAAGTTTTAGATATAATAAAAGCATAAAAATGTAGAAATATAATCTTTTAGGATATAAACTATGAACCTATTAGCAGACAATTTGGCATAGATAGAATATAAGCACAACTAATGATTATGTTTGCTTAGTATTGCTATACAGAACTATATATGTATGTCAGGTTAAATATTTTTAAATTAAAATTATATTTTTAATGTTTTGATCATTTTTTATAAATATATTTGCACATGTAAAAAACATATCATATCCCGTGCATTTAAAAATAAAAGTATCAATGTATCGTATCAGATGTACATATTAGTATCTGTGCAACATATGTTTGAATGAATAAATCGTGATTGGATTGGCATTAATACCATAAATTTTTCAAGATCTCAAATATGTAAGTTATTTTGGTCCAACGTCGCCGTTTCGAACTCGCGATCTGACACGAGGAGCTAGAATACTTCCAGGCCCCAGCCTCCCCTCATCAGGCCAGGAGTTTGATCGGCACGCGCATATGTTATTCTGTAGCACAGTGTGTCTATTGCATTAATCATCCCCTATTTATTTCCTATGTTTGCAATTATGGCAATTGATATGATGTTGAAATTTAACGTAATTAAAGGCAATAAGAAAAATATTGCATTTCTCTCCAAATTCCATTATTAGCTAACTTTTAACTTTTGTAATGCATATGAAGTAAATTAAAAGTGATTTATATTAATAAGAAAATAGTACAAAATAGCAGTATTGAGTGGATCCAATTTCTCCATGCTTATTATGCCTGTTAAAATTAAAAAATGAGTGGATCCAATTATTGATATGGTTTACCCCTCGAGATGCCCATCCCAGCTCGTATGCATGTTTATACACAAACAATGAAAATAATAATAATATTATTATTATTATCATTATTAATTCAGGTTTGATCTGCCATTACCATCACTCGACGTGTTGCACAGTACAAGACAACTCCTCCCATTCTTCGCTCCTTGCATGGAAAGTAGAGACCCTCGCCAACTCGTCCGTCTCTAGTCCCTGTGACTCCATAAGAGCGTCTCGCTCTGAGTTCTCATCTCCCTCAACCCTTGCCATCTCGTCTCTGCGACTCAGTGCTTTCGATGCCCTATTGCTCTGTGCTTCCATCCTTCTGTCATCTCATATCGTCGCCCTCTCATTTGCTTCTGGAACCAAGATCGTGATCTGAATGAAGATGAGGATTGAGGAGTCTTTGAAGATTGCATCCTTGCCTCGTGTTGTAACTCATTGTCTTCCTCTCCTCCGCCATAAACCGCGATCTGAAGAGTGAAGATGAAGGCTGAATGCTGCCAAACCTGAAGCCTCGATCCTGCTTGTGACTCTTCTGCGTCTCCCTTACACCCATTTCTTTGTCCTGTATACTCTGCTTCTTTGGCCAGATCTTACAAATTTATGGTCTTCCTTCTAAATATGCAAATTTGTTGGTTGGGTTCTAAATTTGAAGTTGAATTTCTCTCATTCTTCTTGATTTTATCATCCCCCCCCCCCCCCCACTCTCTTCCAATTTTTTGCAAAATTTACAATGAAAAAACGGGCTAATCAAAACTTGCTACGGGTTGGCCCAACTTATCCAGTACCCATTTTGTCATATACGGGCGGGTTATGGGTTAGTCCATGCCGCCTGCTGCTCAAACTATGATTTATATTAATATATGTAACGTAAATTAACAGTGATTTATATTAATAAGAGAATAGTAGTAAGAAGTAGATTCAATATCTTCATGCCTGCGATGCTTGTAGGCTTGTAGCCCCATGGTATATTCCTGCTTGTATAAATTTGATCTAACTGTTACACGTAGATAAAAATAATAGTTAAAGTAGAATTATACTTTTAAACATGGAAAAAAGTTGAATGAATTTCTAACTGTACCTGTGTCAAAAGTTAACATTACATTAATTATAATGAATTAATCATTTGTAACCTGTACAGATTAATTGTATAGAAGGAAACAAAATATAAAAAGACATTAAATATTGTACTTCCTCTATTTAAAAATATAAAATATTTTTAATTAAATTTTACCCTCCAATAAAATAATTACCTACTTTCAAACTAACCCTATCTTTTCATATTTACTTATATTAAACATCCTATAATAAATATAAAATCACTCGATAGAGACGTTTTTGAAAAAAGTAATAATTACACTTTAAAAAATTAAAAATACTTTACATTTTTAACATCCAACTCCTCAAAAAATACTTTATATTTTTAAACAGAAAGAATATACACTATTCTATCACTCTAAGCATCTTATTTTCTTCATCTTTTTATGATTGATATATTTATAATTATAGTATTTTTTTATTTTTTGTTGATTAAAAAATATAATAAAATTATTATTTTTAATTTTTATTTTGAATCTCAATTTATCTTTTTTTTTTATTTCAAATCTTTTAAACCACCCAAACAAAATATTTTAAATGTATGGATTTCAAATGTAAGATTTGCAATCTAAAATTGAAATCTATTAATTTAAATACTATATTAATTTTTTTAATTAGGTGAATTGGACCTTGAGCTCATCAAGCTGGAACACATTTTTAAATTTAAAGAGTATTTATAAAATTGCTTTTATACTGCCTGTTGACAAAATCATCATATCGGTTGTAAAATTTAATGGTATAATCTTGCAAATTGCAGACTAAATCTTTTTTAATTGAACTAAATTTTTATTGATAATTTAAAGACTTTTGCGGTTTTGCCAACCCTGGTGCCATTGAGATATGTCCCCTTTTTCGTCATTGGAGGCCAACTTTGAAGCATCTCAAGGCTCCATAGTTAATAGGCCCCTCGTGTTCCTGGTGTGTGCTGTGTAAGATGCTATTTTTCTTTTTCTGTGAAGATGATGAAAAAGAAAAAAAGGGCCATCCCGCATTTGTCGCTTATATTTTAAAAAAAAATATAATTTTTAATTTTTATACTTTACTCATATTTCATTATATATCTCTATTTTTTTTTCATATTCTGAATCCCTATATTTTTATTTTTTATTTTTTTAAATTCCTAAATAAATAAAACGTAAAAACTTTAAAAAAACCTAAAATATTAAAAAATAAAAATATAAATCCTTAAAATATATAAATTTATAATAAATTTATAATAAAATATAAATAAAATGTAAGAATTAAAAATTATATTTTTCTTTTTTTTTTCTCAACAAAGTTGACGGATCAGATGCTAAGGCTTTTTGTAACGGAACTGTTTAGGGTTTATTGGTACGCTATGCTGATGCCTGATATGATTTTGACTTGGATGCTCTTTTATCCACTCTGAAAACTAAAAAAAAATAATACTCTTTAAAAATATAAAATATTTTTTAAAAAATTTAATGAGTATTTTTAATATTTTTAAAATATAATTATTATTTTTTAAAAAAAACGTTCATATTAATAATAATTTTATATTTATTGTAAAATATTTAATAAAAATAAATATAAAAAGATGAAATAAGTTTAAAAATAATTAATTATTTTATTAAAATATAAAATTTAATTAAAAATATTTTATATTTTTAAATAGGAGGAATAACACTTACATTGAGTAGCGCGAAAATTTAATGATTGTAAATTTTATCTCAGCCAGCCCTTAAAAGTAATCCCTCAATCAAAATCAAATCAATTAAATCGAACTGGAAAATAGCGGAAAACTGAATATAAATAAAGTTTTGTTCCGTATATGTAATGTCAAAATTTACTGTTCGTTTCAGTTTCAACCAAGCTCTTCCTTTCATATCTCTGGATTATTTTTAATGATGCGTAAATATGAATTTATTAGTTCTCTCAAAGGATCTCTGATATTATTCAAAATTAAATTAAATATATATAGAATTAATTAATTAATTTTACCTCTAAAACTCGTATCAAACAAGTTAAAATTTTGATGTATATTTAAGAAAATTAACTTAATACTTTTTTTTTGGAATCGGTACTTCTTCTATTAAAAAAATAAGTTAAATCATATATTTAATTTGTTAACTTTACATAGTATTTTCTTTTGATCCTTTAATTTTATAAAATAAATTTTTAATCATTTAACCTAAATATCTTTAGTTTCATTACAGAAAAATTTTACTTTAAATTTTTAAATATGACAAAACATTTTTAAATATTGGCATATTAAAT